AGTCTGATTGTGCACGAACTGAAAACAGGAGCACAAGTTAAAATAAAAAATAATAATAATAATGATAATTGAAGAGCTGGATTTTAAAGGAGATAAAGGCAAGGAAAATCACCTGCATCATCAGCAGTTGGTTAGACCTGGCTGGGTCAGGAACTGATCTGCTGGATTCGCCCATCCCAGCAGTGGCCTTCAGCGACCAGATTCTTGCCCTATCTACTTCGGACATGCCAGCAAAATCGCCGAAGTACGCTGCAGCACCTTCTCGGTTCTGACCCCATATGAGGTCCCAGATGTGATCTGGGATTGGAATTCGGGGGGCCGAGAAACCTATTTCTCCAGATTGCAGAGTCTGGAAGGAAGGAAAGGATGACGATGGAGCTTCTTTAACTTTGGATGGCTCAGCATCCTCCTTCTTCTCAGAAGAGTCAATTATTATGACTTCTTCTTCTTCAGGGGTGAGGACGAAGGCCTCAACCTCTCTTGCAATGTCTTCCGTGAAACCCTCAGCACTGGGCATCACGGCATCCTCATTCTTGTGCTCAGCAGCACTCTCTTGAACTTCTTCTTGGACCCCTCCCTTAGGTTCGGGAGTTTTCTGATCCACCTCCATCTCGGGAGGTGGCGCAGGGGTCTTTGGAGGTGATTGAGGTGGTGGCCGGGGAACCCTCGGCGATCCATTGCCTTCCTCGGGTTCCCTTATTTCGACGCCGATGGTCATCGGCCTCCGCTGAAAGTCATGGGGGCCGATGATGGCCATTCTTCGGCGCCTTTTCTGAAGCGGCTGCTCGTCCATGTTTGAGTCTGAGGACTCTTCTTGTATCTGGTCTTCGGGACGAACAGGGGCTTTCCCTTCTCTTTGTCTATTACTCTCTTCAGACTGTAAAAGACAGGGGGGAGGAAGAATGTAAAAACAAATAAAAATAAAACAACAAACAGAAACAGACAAAATTAAGTCTGAAAGCTCACCGAGGTCTTCAGCAAAGCCTCGTCTTCTTCAGCTGCCCTAGCTGCAGCTTCTTCTTCAGCAGCCCTGGAGGACCCTTCTCCTCCTTCACAAGCTTCAATAACCCGTGCAACCTCTTCGGCCGTACGGGCAGCTTCAGCTTCTTCGTCCAGCAGCTGAAACCAGGGATCTCTCTTCTTCCACCAAGGCTTCTGCCTCTGATACAGAGCAACAGCCTCAATTAGGAAGTGGGAAGAGTCTAGATGAACTTCTTTATGCCTCGGTTCAGTGACAGAGGGGGCCCGATCAGTTACAACTCGTTCTCGGTTGACGCCAAGACGAGCGTAGTTAATGCCGACGTTGGTCTCGTCCCGCTCTGAAAAAGAAAAGGGGAAAGGTCAGTTCAGTTAGGTTGGCACAGCATAAAAAAGCGAAGTGAAAGAGGAGAAAAAGAGATAATTAAAAGGCCTCGGCCCCAGCCGAAGAAGCTTACCATCCTTAAACTTTCGGCTGAGGCCGACAGCTGCTAGCATCTTCTCTTGGAAAACATAATGCGTATCGGGGAGCCAAGTCTCCGGGATCTGCTGCATTCGGTCGCTGCCCCCCCGGTTTGGCAGCTTGCCGAAGATATTCTGTTGATTAAGGTTCGGATCTGGGCCGTTATCTGCGGGGGACCTAAACTTCCCATGTCGGGATCAGGCTCAGCAAGGTACCGGGGAGCGCTGAAGACGCAAGGGTAGCCCGGGTCCGTGGGTGCCCTAACCCAAATCCATTGACCTCTCCAGTCCTTGTCTGAAGAGTCGTTCGGCCACATGGTTAGGTACTGGGGCCGAGACTCAATCCGGTACCACCCAGAACCATGACTTCCATGCCCACTTTGAATATTTGGCACTAGCCGATGAAGCTTTTTGAAGCAGTGCAGGTTCGGCACATACCTGAAGAACTTGCAGACCCATAAGTATGTCATCACCCTTCGGATGCTAATAGGAGTTAGCTGACATAGGGAAATATTGTAATGGATCAGCAAGTCTCGGACGAATACGTCCAAAGGGAACCTCAGCCCATACTGAAGTTGTCTTGTGTACACCCCCACATACCCCGGGGGTGGACGATGGATTCTATCGGATGCCACGGGCATTCGGCACCAATACCCATCAGCTTCAAGGATGCCGTAATGCAACTCAATTTGTTCGGCGAACCGATACTGTTCGACATTCTCCACCCACCATGAGTAGGGGCAGTTCTTTATCATGGCCGAAGCTACTTCGGCATCCTCCCACTCTGAAAACCCGGGAAGGATATCCCAAAGGACAGCGGGAACTTCATCGTCCCGCCCAGAAGCGCTCGGCCCCTCCGTTCTCTGAGGAGGAGCCGAAGAAATTGGAGTCGCCCTAATCCCTTCAGCAGGGTCAGACTCTGCTCTTTGTCCATTCCAGGTCCCAATCCTGTTCCTGGGATCGGGAATTGGCCTTGCTCTTCTTGGAGCACGGGCTCTACCCCTAACTCCTCTCGCCATTGATAATTTCGAAGAAAAAAGTCGAAAAAAGGGGAAGGAGTTCAAATTCGAAGAAAAATAAACTAAAATCAAAGGAATTTACCTTAATCTGAAGCGAAAGTTGCCGATTTACGAATTGGTAGTGGCGAGTCTCAGTTTCTAAGCTTAATGCTCGGGGAATTTGCGAAGTTTTGATGGGGGTTCTTGGGTTCTCTCGAGAATTCTGGGTTTGTGTTGGTGAATAAGTGAGGAGAGATGACGCGCCTCTAATTATATCTCCAGAAATGGGAATACGGGGAGTCCGCGTTTCAATTTCTCTTAAATACCCCACTAAGTAACCGTTAAACACACGACCTTGCGATTAAACTGCCCATTATCCGTCCAACTTCCACAATTATCCGCCTTAACTGTTGTTATCTCATTAATTACGGTTTAAATTCAAATTTTTGGATTAATTAAATCATTCACTTCCCTCCTTTTCTGATTAAATCAAACCCGACCCGTCATCCTTCCAAATCGGGTCTGGGGGGCAAGTTGTTTGGGTCCAATTTAGTCCAATTGGGCCTAGGCATTAAATGACTCAATTAAAAGCCCAAGGTCAAGGTTCATCTCTCCAATTGTGCTAAAGTCAAAGATCAGTCCTCAAGGCAAGCCAATTGGGCTAAGGCCCAACTTCTCCCTATATGCAAAGGTATAAAAGCCATCAATATTACATTTGTACATTCATTCAAGAAAAGCCTCAAGCAATTAATTCTCTTGCATAGTGTTCTCTTTCTACACACTGTACTGACTTTAGCATCGGAGGGGCCTTCCTCGGTAACACCCCCGAGGCTAGTTTACGTGTGTTTACTGTGCAGGAAACCTTCGGCCCAACATCACTTGGACCGAATCCAGTCTTCTCCACTTCATCGGACTTTCGACAAGGTCCCATTGTTTTCACCCGAAACACTTATCAACATGAAAGCAACTTGTAACAAATGATTTCATGGTCGTTGTGAACGTAGAGTTTCTCCCCGTTGCCTTATTATCGCCTTTCATTTCCTTTAATAATGTCAAAGAGCTAACAAATAGAATATAATATGGCTTTTCAAATAGTAACAATGTGAATAATGTTGCTCTTATAATTAGTAGGAAGTTAAACTTGGATAATTTGATGTTTATATACTAAAATTTCAGGGGTTTTTTAGCTTGGAAACCAAGGAAAAAAAGTATAAGAAAATTCAATCGTCAACAAGATGAAGCATCTAGGAAGTGAGTACCCAATTGATCGATCGATCAAATTTATATATGATGCTATTAAGCCTATTATTGCTAAACACGTACACTTTTTACTTTGTTGAAAATTCTACTATTGTCTTGGTCAACATTTAATTCTATTATATTAACACATGAATAGATTAATTAAGTTAATCTATTACATCATAATTGATACTTTGTGATTTGTGTTTGTTAGATTAGTTGAGTATTTGCTAGTTATTTGACTGATTAAAAATTTAGCGTCTGTTAACATCATTTAGCTACTTGAAATTTTTTTTAAAAATCATTTACCTTAAATTAGGTAGAAGCTATAATAACTTAATAATGCTTTTTTTTTTTTGGTTTATTTTATTTTTAATCTCACTATTAAAAACCTACCATTGCAATCTAAAGTTCTTTGAGTTGCCTTGAACTTTTCCATGTAAAATTAACAATACCTAAAAATTCCAAAGATACTTTCCCGAAGACATTTTACAAATCAATGTGGATGAACATGTATTAGGCTTGCTCAATTATTAACCAAAAATTGGTAATGTGAGTTTTTTTTTTTAAATGGAAAGAAGAAGTCCAAGAGGGATATTAAGGTTTATATTATTCTAGAGATCTCCATGATATATAGAATGTGTTCAGTGAGTTTCGACCTCTTGCCCTCGGAAATCGAAGAACTAGCTAACTACTCTAACCTTCTATCTCATTGGTAATGAGCGAACATGATACATGGGCACTCTAGTAGCTATATACTATGTATAAGCTAACCAATGGCAGTATGAAATCAGATGGTCATGTACACGCTTGATCCATTGCTCCCTCCATTAATTACCAAAGACCTATAAGTTGCTGTTAGATTATTAATTTAACATAGTTCCTATGCTTAGGAACATGTGTTTGTTTAGTTGATTAATTCAAATTTAGAGGCCTACGTATTAGTTTTCCGTTAATAAGATCTTAGGTTGTGGAGATCATGAAGATAGTGGGTTAGGCGTGAAATTAAATTACTACGTATTAGCTCTCGGGATAGATCGAGTTCCAAGTTTGTAGCTCTAGTTAATTAGTCGGTTTATATATATATAACCCGGCATATAATATGTTTATTAATTGGATTGAACGCAAGTCTATTTTTCTTTTCTGTCTCTCATTGTTCTTTATATTTTCAACCGTTATAACTTATACATTCATAACCTCGTATAGTCTCGCTATATCTTACCCTTTTATAAGAGCATAGAACAATATGAAAACAAATTAAATAACAAAAATTAACATTTAACAAGAAGCTAAATTCATCATTAATCACCTAAATCATCACTATGTTTTGCAATAACAATATATATAAAGGATCTAAATCAAAATACACATACATTATGATGTCAAATATTTGGCAAGTTTGATCCTTTTTAATAAGGAAATAATAATACAACCCATGCTAATAATCACATTATATTTGTCCCATCAAATGAAGATCACCTTCAAATTTAAAAAAAAAAAAAAAAAAACTTACAAGTCATAAGGTTGCTTGCCAGTAAACTTAACCTCAATAGGGCTAACATTCTTACCAATTGACCTCATGTTTTGACCAACACCTTGTCTACCAGGGTTAACCTTTTCAGGGTAAACCCCATCTTTTGGGTGCAAATATTGAACCTCTCCATTTGGAAATACCCTGTAAAATTGGTACTTTATCTTGTACTTTGATCTTAGCCTTGTTCCAAGTGCTAAACATTGCTCTTTACGTGCCAATTTCAGCAAGTTTGGTCCTTCCCTCATTATTGCTGCACCACCTGTTGGCATTTCGAAGATTTGCTCCTTTGGTGACTCCCATGTGATCACGTAAAACTCCTCTACTTGCGCCTTCCTCAGTAACCCACCTGCGCGTTTAATAAACAATAACTAGTGAGTATCCCGGGCTATGCACAAAGTTCACTTAATCATGACACGAGTAACTTAATACTCGCGACAAAGTCACCCTCATCATTTTTTTTAAAACTAAAAACTAGTGTGTGTCCCAGACAATGCTTAAAAACATTACTAATACAAGTAAATATTATATTCTCAATACCTGTGCTACCGGCGAAGATTGGAGAAGGGGTGTTAGGGTCTAATTCCGGAGGAGTGAAACCTTTGGGTGCCTCGGGTGCGGCCTCGGTAGTCTCGGCTGCTTTGCCTTCAGCAGCGGCTGCACGGATGGAGAGGCGGGAGGCGGGTTTTGAGGCGAAGGAGAGAGCGGAGGGTTGTTTGAAGGAGGAGGTGAGGCGGGGATCGATGGTTTTAGTGGAGGAAAGAGAGGAAGGGGAGAAGAGTGTGGCTTGGGTTGCCATTGCCATATTGTGTAATTTAGTTTGTTTGGATTGGTGGATGTGGAGGGAGTGTGGAGAAGAAAGAAGGGATATGAATAAGTGTAGGAGTTTTGATGGATGTTAGAGGGTTGAGATATGGATAAGCGTGCTTGTGTTAGACCAATTAGATGGCTTGTTTTTATTGATTTTTGATACTGAGGGCCCGACTGCCTTAGCTTACTTACAACCACAACTGCAATTTTGTTTTGTTTTACTGTTTTTCATCTAGATATTCCCTAGTATCTCTCACTGTGTCAAATACTTCTGTAGTTGAATTTATCTTTTTTTTATTAGTTGTTTCGATTATGTACTGAGTTAACACATTTGTCAATGTCTATTACAAAAATTATATTGTATATGTCAAAAATACAAAGTATATATTAAGACGACTCCAATAATATTTAATAAAGTATGTTGTCCATTATGTGTAACTAGTAAATGATGGTCAAAGTAAAGTATGTGAAAAATGTCAAAAGTCAAAATTAAAAAAAAAAAAAAAAAAAAGAACCGAGATTCCAAGTAAGTATTATTTTTGCTTAAGAAATCTTACATGGAGACATTTATTGCTTAAATCTTACACACAAATTAACGCAGCAGGAGAGAAAAAGGGGAAATTTGTTAGAAAAAGAGATAGTATAAATATTTAAGTGTACAAAAAATATGGATTTTAGAGTGAGGGATAACTCAAGTGGTTAGAGCCTCCCTCCATATTCTAAGAGGTTTTGGCATCGATTCTCACCTCGCCCTTGTAGCTCTCTAAACACCAAAAAAAAAATATATGGATTTGAATTAATAGAAGGAGAGTGAGGGAGTCTCAGTTAATCTCAGAGATTAACATTTCAATTTATCTCCTATTACAATTTTATGCATACTAAAATTAAAAAGAATTTTTTTTAAAAAAAAAATTAGTACTATGAACTTTTGGATATAGAGGTACAGAACAATACTTGTATACCCTTAAACATTTAGGAAGTTATATTACTTACGGAAGAGAGGGAAAAAAATCAAGTCATTTTGGAAAATGAGTGTATAGTCTACATAATGTTTCTATATATATCTTGTCAAAATACGAGTTTAGGACGACAACAAAAGAATGACCCCTATAAAAATAAAAATGTTAAAAGTATAATTCAACTAGCTAGTGATAATGAAGACTGAAGAGTAAATAATACTTGGTAACAAAATAAGATCGAATTTTTATCTAATCTTTCTTTGCCTTTGGTTGATTGGTTCTCTATGAATCAATGTGTAGATGATTGATCTAACCAGCAAAAACGGTTTACACCACAAGCATCGTCTTTCCTGAGATGCCAGTAAGAAACAATGACAAGAAATAGCAAACGAAAAGGGAGAGGGTATCTCTTCCTTAAAGATTATTACATAAGAAAAACCATGGATATGTACAGAGAAAAATTTAACCAAGGTTGAAATTGAATAACACAAAAATAAAAATAAAAAGGGCTCAATTCTAGAAACACTTGTAGCCTCAGATGCCTTGCGTATCAAATTCTAGAATTTCATGAACAAAAATGCCGCCACTAATCTAAGTAAACACAAAAATATCTAACAAATGTAACCTGGATGAAATGTGGAGGAAGGATTTACTATCCATCATGCTGTACTCTAAAGCAGCATGATCATGATCTCATAATAGTCCGTTAATTACGTTACAGGCTTGCAGCCAGTTCAAAGTCCAGACAGTTGTAAAGAAGTTTGTTCTGTCATTATCATCCGCTCTTAAGCTGGATGATTACAGTTCTGATATCGAGGTAATCTAGGCTGATCCCATTATATGCCTGAACAATAATGATGTCAGAATGTTTGATGTTTACAATAGAGTCGTAGAGGTTGAATGGTGAAAGGCACATCAATCATTTAAGACTTCTCAAAGTAAACACCTTGGTGAAGAGCAATATCAATGAAAAAATGAAACCAAAATTGTACCAAGGAGAAAGAGAAAAGCAGGAAACTCCAATGGAACTAGAAATATTTCTAGCAAATACAAGAATCAAATTTTAATGCGACCACAAGGTATCATAACATGTATACAAGAAATTTTATATGTGCCACACTGCCAGAGTTTTTGCCATTTTTATTGTAGTGGACAAATAATCGTAATATTCATAAACTGTTGCTAATGTCAGAACCTATCAGATGAGTTGAGAGTTTACCCTTATGAAAAAGAAACACCTCCATCCCCCGCCTTTATTTCAAAATCAGCTCCTCCCTCCACCTCCTAATACATCTCCAGGGCCCCTCCTCCAATGGCACTGAACCAATTATTTAGGAAAAAAAAAAAGGTGTCTGAAAATATGATAGGAGGATACTACAACCTATATAGCACAATTGACAACAAATACAGAAATACTTCAATACAGCCATACTTATTTCAAAACAAAATCACAAGGGATTTATATGGATGGAAAGGAAAAAACTATCCTCCAAATAGAAGTTTCAAAATCACAGGGGCTTGGGGCTTCATCACTTCATGTAGTACATCCTTATTTATTCCTTGGCAGCTCTTAGCAGACAATAGGTCACAGTTCAGGCAAGTTGGGTTACGTAGCTAAAACCTAGACTAATATTCCTCACATGCATTTTTCCTGCCATAGTTATATAACAAAGGATCCATGATAACAGGAACAAGAAACATCATACTCATGTGCAAATGTTAAACAGCATACCGTCATACCTATCACAAAATATACTCAATTCTGATCTGAACTCTCTGCATCTTGCAACACTTGGCTCTTCTTGGGCTTTTGGTACCAGAAATACATCATTAGAAAAACCCTTAAAAGCCCTCCGTTTGCAAAATGAGGAATAAACATCCGGCCCCAGTATGGGTAGTATGGCCCAGGCAACTTAAGAAGAACAAGAAGAATAGCAATTGCAATCATATGCCAAGGAACGTCAGCATCCTGTTAATCCAATATTGAAATGAATAGAGACAAATGTATAAATCATAGGAAAATTTGTTAAAAAGAACCTTTTAAGTCCACTATTTTGTGAGAAAGGACCTTTTAAAAAAAAGGTGGCAAGGAGGGACCAAATATGGATTTTTTTTTGTGAGGAGGGACCTATGCCCGGAATTCACCTTAGCCCCACCCCTTTCACGGCAGCCTCCTCTTTCCTCCACCTGACCACCCCCACCTGCACCGCCTCCCTCTTCCCGCTCCCCTTTCACGACAAACTCACCACCCCTAACCACTCCCTCTACCTCTCCACTGCCAGCACTGACCTCACACCCACCACCCCTTTCACGACAGCCTGCTCCTCCCCTTTTCCTACCCCCACTCCCTTTTCTCCACCCTGATTACTATAAAAATTCATGCGATTTCCACCCTAATCCTAGAATTTAGGGATTTAGAGAATCGTGAAACGAGAGGGATGGAATCAAATTTCTGAATGAGTTAATAAAGGGTATGGAATTGGATGAGTTTTTGAAGAAATTGGGTTCAATTGAATGGGTTCAGAAGTTTTGAAAGCAAATTGGATGTAAAATTGTGCAAAATTTGTAGAAACGAAGATCGATCTTCGCGCAAAAGCAGAGAAATGAGAGGAGAAAATTAAAGAGAGGGAAAGACGGTGGGGATCGGAGGGTCACCGGCATGGGGAGGCTTGGGCGCCTGGGTCGGCATTGACAGCGGCAGGGGAGAGGAGGTGGTGGGCTGTGGGAAAGGCTAGGACGCTAGGCTACCTTGAAAGAGAAGGGTTTTCGGGGTAGAGGAAGGGATTGCTGCCATGAAAGGGGTGGGGCTAAGGTGGTCAACACCGGAGTTGGCGGGTCAAATCCTGCTTTCCGGGCAATGGTCCCTCTTCAAAAATAAAAACTCATTTTTGGTCCCTTCTTGCCACCTTTTTTTTAAAAGGTCCTTTCTCACAAAATGTGGACATAAAAGGTCCTTTGTGACAAATTTTCCTAAATCATATTATGCATGCTCAAATCTTAACGAAAAATGTCTTTATAAATGACCTTGGTAAGAGGAGATAGTTCTTGTGCTGTCTCTTTCAATATCCCAGCAACAGCAAACCCAAGAACCAATGGAATAGGAACAAGAAACAGTTTCCTTTCATGTGCACAGTAGGACATCTCACTGAGGGAGGTAACAGCCAGCACAGGAGCACTTAAGTATTTGACAACAGCAATTGCAACATCAAGAATAAGTTGAATAAAACTATCTAGCACTCTGTTCCAAGGGAAGTTTTTGATTGGTTTGGGAAGGCCATTCCAAACTTCTCTGGCCTTGTCCATCATCTGGTCCAAGTTTAATTTCCCCTGATTATCAGTGGAATGTCCATCTGCCATGCCTACAGAGCATGAGAAGCTTGGCTTTGTATTCTGAACTACAAGACCTGCTTTATAAGTTATAAAGCTGCCTTTTCCATTTAAAGAATCTTGTCGGACGAAAGGCTGGCACCCACTTGATCGATGTGAAATACCCTGAAAAAGGCAAAGACCTTTCACTTAATTTTGAAGAAAAAGAACTATGCTGAAGAGCTGAAAAAGAATCAGAGGTTGCGGATGCTACCAATTTAATTTTTTTGTAAAAAAATAAGGTTAGAGATCTTCTCCACCATGTGATACAAATAATTCTCTGAACAGATTGTTCCAAAGGAAATCAAGTAAACAACATATATAGCTGAATCAAACAGGCGCTCAAAGCATTTCTATATCCTTATCAATATAATATTCCTTGAACAGATTGTTCCAAAGGAAATCAAGTAAACAACATATATGGCTGAACCAAACAGGCGCTCATAGCATCACTATATCCCTGTCGTAAAATATTACCTATATCCAGATTTTAGGCACTAAGGTCATACAATAGCCAATGAAATAAGGATTTAAAACTCTAACATATCTAGTTTAACATTTTGTATATTGGACAGTAATATTGTGAAATTTCTAACGATAATATCATGCAACCTCTTTCGTTTTAGTGACACCATCAAACCTCGATATTACTATAACATTACTTATCAAATTCCAAAGTGTCGATAACACAATATAGAAAAACTTGATACTTTCTTCATGTTTCAGCTTAAAGTTCAGGGAAAAAATTATTGTTTGTTCAAACAGAAAACTTAGAGGAAAAGAAAGAAAAACACACACTTTTTTCCTTTTGCAACACGGAAACAGAGTTAATAACTTTTATACTCCATGACTGTTAATAAAAATTTCAAAACTTGCACATATCATAATTGCAATCAGTCGTTGGTTATTCTCAAAACTGTTTAGTAATACACCAAAACAAGATACTAGGAGGTAGACTAACTAATTCCCTCCTGTAATGGGAGGAAGAACATACAAGGTAAAGAAATACAAGATGCTTACTTGCTGATTAAAATATGGGTGGAGTAGGGGTGAAGAGCAGGACACCGCCATAGCTGGTGACATCGCTGCTTTCTCTGTCTCTAAGCTTCACAAAATTTGTCACAAGATACACTTCAAATGACATACAATTCCAGAAGATATATTTTTAAAAATCGAGAAAATCAGATCAAATCATCAAGGCAGAAAATAAAACCAGGCAGACAAAAGTAAATCATCTCGGTTCAAGCTCATAAGAATCCATGTTCATTTAATCATGAGTACAAACAACTCAAAACATACAAATACCAAAATGACCTTCACAAACATAACACCAATTATTCTTTTTAGGTTCAAAACTGGACTTAATTCCGCCTTCTTGATTTCATTCCTTGTTGTCCCGTAGCACCGGAAAATACTTGCATTGGGCTTTGAATCGGGTTAACTAGCATCATTAAGGTTATAAACTTCGAACGGAACACAAGTCCCTTCTCAAGGGTCAGTAGTTCAGCTTCATCAACTAATTAGGTCCTGAACTTCAAGTCCCTTCTAAAAAGGTCCGTTCTCAAAGTGAACGGAACGTAAATCCGAACCAGTATCGAGTAGGCTGCTCCTGCCGGTCCTACTGTCATTTTTCCTAAATCAAGTTTAACTTGCAGTTCATTATTATCCTCCTACTTTCATTTTGCTACCACACACTCAAAATTCTGAAATTCTTCGAATTATAATCATATTTCATTGCTTACGGAAAAAAATTTCCACGAGTTCACCGAATTATGCTTTGTTTTGACCTAAATTGCACACATCAAAATTCTTCTCGCTTATGAATATCAACTTAAATTTCACACAGCTAAATTCTAGCAACAAATCCTCTTGTTAATTTTTTTTTTTTCCATAAATTCAGTAATTACAGCAAATAGTTCAATAATCAAGCTTCGACGAAATCTAAATTGAGTATTGATAATTGAAGAAACAATAGTGTGAAAGTAAACCCTAGATTGTGAAATTGATAATGAATGATTAAGAAGATAGTAATTACCTCAGAAGCTGCTTCAATGGAGGAGAGAAAGCTCAGAAGCCGTTTTAATGGAGAACTCAGAGTACGCTTCAATGGAGGAGGGAGAAGAGCTGCGTAAATATAAAAGTTTGAAAGAGAAAATAATAAATTAGGAAAACATAAAGGATAATTTGTCAATTACTACCGCAAGTTAATATCACTTTGTTAATTACTACCGCAAATTAAAAAAGTTGTGAATTAATCCCGCAAAAAATTTTAAGATGTTGCGATTACTACCAAACCCCTATTAAACCCAATTATGACGTCATTATATCTCTTTAACCCATGTTTGACTATGGTTAAGGGCTTTAACCACCCCCCAAAAAAAAAAATGGGTTAGGGATATAATAACGTCATGGTAAAGGGCTTTAACCCATGTTTAACCATGGTTAAGAGCTTTAACCATAGGTTAAAGTGATATAATGACGTCATAGTTGGGTTTAATGGGGTTTTGGTAGTAATCGCAACATCTTAAAAAATTTTGCGGTAGTAATTCACAACTTTTTAAATTTGCGGTAGTAATTTACAAAGTAGTATTAACTTGCGGTAGTAATTGGCAAATTTTCTAAACATAAATAGGAAGATAAATGACACGTAATCATCGTTTTATTTTGGGTGTTTGTGTTATTTTGAGTATTTAAATGGGGTTAATATAGTAAATTCATCTCCTCCTTTAGTACATGTTTTTCCTCCATTCTCTTACCTCTATCTTTGGAATTCAAAAACCTTCAATGGAGAAATCGAAGTTCACGAGCATCTTCAATCGAGGAGGAAGACAAACTCTACACTTTGGGGTTAATTATGCCCTTTCATCCATTTTTCTTATTACTTTGCCCATCACTAAATAAGTAAATAGTCTCCCTTTAAAACAAAAGACAAATGAATTTGTTTAAGTAGTAATTAACTAATTACATATGAAAAGATTTCACATGAGAACAACATTTTAAAATTTCGAATTGAAAAAAATTAGGGTAGATAAAATAGAGAAAAACTAGATCTATTAAGGTCTGTTATGGATGGAAAAATTAGGGTAGTAGTTTATGTAGTTTTTTACTTCGTAGTAGTTTATTAGACAGAGTCTCACTTTATGAGAGGTTGTGAGTCTCTCTTTATGAGAGTTGTTTCTCCAATTCTCCCCTTATATCGAGTTTTTCTATTTATTTATATATTATTATTAATTTTTTTTCAGGGTCCATAGGTCAAGAGGGACAAAGGTAGCAAATCCTCGGCAACGAAACCATTCTTTCTCCTTTGATGCAGCACGAATTTGTGAGATTGTTGTATTTTTGAGGAAGTCATCAATGGTCTACAGCTTGGTTTTCGGTGGAGAAGTTATTTATTTAGGAGAAAATACATTCTTAATGTGAGATATATTCTTTGTAGTCTTTACTTGATTACTGTAAGTGTCTTTTGACTTATTTAATTTATGCTATTTCCATGGTTCCCTTCAAAAAAAAAAAAAAAACCTCAAGTCATTGTTCGGTGTAACATGTTCATTTGTATAAAATTGTATTTATATACTACAATTGTTTCATACAGTATTATATTTTGGGGTATAAAATTTTACTTATAGGTACTCATATGACAGAGACATATTGAACCCTCCTCATAACCAGACACATTAGTTAATCGGATCATACCAACTCGTGAGCTAAAGATTTCATGTTCCGGCCAAAAACCTGAATGATCATTTCATACTCCTTGAAATATTGTCCATAAATGCATAGCTTTAAGCTCGGAGCAACTCATCCTATCAGCACATATAGACAAAACTTTGATAGGGCAACTGCAGTTTAGAATTTGAACGAGGCTAAACCCTTCGGAAAAAATACACCAAAGCTATGCATATCACTGAATCCTAACAATAGTATAAACAAAAAAGGAGAAAAAATAGGAAGCACAATTTACACAATGAACCAGCAAATTCCCAATCTTCAGATGGTTGATCTCTATCATTTCTTTTTCCTGGCAGAAGATCCTGATCCACGACCACCTTTCTTTCCTGATCCAGGGTCGGCAGCACCTCCCTTGCCTCTTCCTGCCGAGGCCTTTTGTGGCTTTTTGGTGCCAGAGCTTCCAGCACCTTTCAAGTCCACTTGAACTTGAATCCCTAGAGACCAACCAACCAGTTAAAGATATAGATTTAAAAATCCAAGCCCATAAAGTGAGCTAGCCAAGAAAATTACAACTGACCTTTAGCATGGTTACTCTCGAGATCCAGCTTGAGTTTTTTCGCACCATTAGCGTCCTCTGGAAGAGATGACAAGCAAATGACATTTCATATTAAATACGAAGTAAACATTAAAGAGTTCGACCATGCATGAAACATGTCATAGCAGGACTTGTGAGCAAGACCTGCTTATTAATGATTGGCATTTCATTCTCAACCATCACAAGTCCTTGTAACATAGATACAAAAACTCTTTATGGACAAAGCCAAACCAAGATGAGGGAATATAAGGCCCGAAGGTGATTCAGGACAGACTATTGTTGTAGCATGTCCCAAGGAACTTGCAGAATACATTGCAGAATTTCAAGATTGTGGATCAAAGCTTGTTTATGGACAAGTAAAACAACTCTATGTGACATTTAGAATTGAATTTTTTGAGCAGCTAAAAGAACACAAAAATATTGATTCAAACAATTAAGAGACGGAGGATCAGGGCTAAAAGTGTAATCGGACTCCAAGACATCAAGTCACTTGGAAAACTTATATACACATGAGAAAAACAAGCAAAAAATATATTCAGATTTAAGAAAATCCTTTTATTGATATTCGCAGGCATGGGTAGCAAAGAAAGGTGTAAGCTTACTCAAACCTTCTGCATCTTCAGTGTCCTCTTCCTCATTTTCCTCATTGATATCACCATTTACCTCTCCAATTTCATCAACCGGCTCCAGGATAGCAGCAATCCTCTTTTTAGGAGCCTTTTTCAAACCAGGAAGGGTGATCATGTCTGCTGTTCGCACCACGCGCAAACTGCTACCTTCTTTATATCCCTTTGTTAAAGCAGATTTTACTGCTGGTGGTATACCATCAGTTGGTGTAGGGTGTCCCTAACAAAGTACAAATCAAAATTTGTGAGAAATTCTAAACAGCAGAGTAAGAAACAGTATTGTAGCAGGTAGAATACCTGAAATTTCGACAACTCCATAAGCGTGTCATAATCTTCCATGCTTAATGAGTAAGTATCCATGAATTCAACTACTTCTTTTACAGCTTCCTCCTGTGAATAAATAATAGGAAAACATAGCTGTTAACTGCAAATTACAAGATTATTATGTCCAAATAAAAAAAATATAGAACTGCCAGTTGCAAGTTTGCAACTGACAGTATAAATAGCATTGGGAAATCGAACATAAAATGCTCAAGTGTTTAAAAAGATCCTAACCTTAGGAAGAGTCCGAAGTGGTTCAGTTAGTTTTTTAGAAAGAAGTGTAAGGAAATCAGTACGTAATGTTCCCCTGCATATCATTAAATAAGATAGCTATTATACATATGCTGTCAGCATAATCAAGGAAAACAAGGAAAGCTTTCAAATGCAATGCAGTATATTAGAAAATAAAGATCAAATGAAACAAACAGCAAAAAAGACTTTACTCTGTCATTTAAGGTAGGTGACAAGGTAACACAGAAAAGTAATCAAGCATTTTCTTCATTATTCCCTTCTTTGTACAGGAGCACGAAACCATAACAATAAGACTTGTTTCACAAATTCACAGTAAACACAAATCAAAAGATTACAAGTAGAGGTATGCAGAATATACGATGAATTTGGCGATAAAACCACTAAAATCTTCTCCGCATCACAGGAATTCAGATAATAGACAGGCTATTACATGAAAGAAGCATTTGCATGTAATTGCAAAAAGCCTGTTGTGCCGATTGCAAACTGCTGCCATGAAATCAAACTAAGCCTGATATTTAAACCATTGCTTGATAAAATCTTAATGTTCTATTCAATGAACAGCCACATCAGTCTCCATAGGCCATATCATGTGTTTAGAAATTACATAGGACATACATGTCTAACAATGAGTGATAGAATATCTGTCACTGGCAATTATATTAAGGCATCAACATTTTGCAATCAAATGTCAAAGCCTTGTGTGTACTAGTACCAACATAACACAGTACAGAATTCAATTTTCTAGTACAGGACTTAAGTTGTGGAATGCTAACTTCTATTTATTAGGTGTACATACTCAAAATTACTTCAAAATAGTTGCTAAATGCAAAGGCATATAATTTTTTAAGTCGGTCTACATGCACTGCGGCAGCTTTAAGATGGGACAGCCATGCAAATACTTAATGTTACCACAAATGCTACATGACAGCAATTTTATTCTATAATGGCCCATCAACTTCCCCAATTAAAATCTGGTACTAATCTTGGGAAAGAAAAACTAAGAATGAATTACAGTAAAACATGCACTACATGCAATAAATATATACATAGGAAGTGAAAAGGAACCCTGCCATGCACATATATAATTATATCTTTGATGACCTGACTGACCTCCAAATTTAATCATACAAAGATTGAGGATATTTACACTAATCAGATCTACAATAATTCTGGTAAACTCAAGCAAATAAACTTGTGTATCTTAATACAATACATTATGAACCACTGGGAAAAAAAAATTATGCTTCCTCATGAACCAATACCGTAATGCTCTTATACAAGAATTCTACCTCAGTAAACATACAAATATTCATTTTTAAAATGACAAGCTGACCACCACATGATTCACTTTACAGATTCAATAACAAAATAATACTAACAAAAATTGATAAAAATATGACAAGTATAGCCCTTAAATTAAGTATTAGATGATACCATGCAACACAATACTAGAAATCAACACCCTTCCCTAAAAGTGTAATAGTATGTGTCCAGCTGCTGCACAAGAACCATCTGGAAGATTTAACACATGGAAGGGTTTAGCACTTCAACCTACCTTCCCATATATGAATCACTAGAAGCAAGCATATGGACATGAAGATCCTCCAAAATCCTCAAATTCTTTCCCATAGTTGAATTCTTCCCAAGCCAACCACCAAACCTGTTGAAATTTCTTTCACCCTGCAAACTTCATGTCAGTCTCTGGCACATGACTGAAGCAGTTATATGTAACAAGGTGTCCAACTAGATTATCACAAAGTAATAGGAAAATTATGTCATTAAATGAGTTTTCACTGTCATCTAAAGAAGGCCCAAGGAAAAACACAAGAGAAAATAAAGCTATCAACATAAATATGCAGGCAGTTTAACCTTGGAACCAGATTAAGAGGAAAGTTCAAGCTAAATAGATATTTTCCGTTGTCAAGTTTTTCCAATCAAATAAGAAAATGAATATTTGGTGAGTTACATCTCCTTAAACTTATTGGAGTTAAACACAACTTAAACCCCAATGGGACGTTAGTACAAGGCTATGTTACTCGAAACACAACATTTTAACCACCATAGTCAGGTCAATACCACCCAAAACCAGTCCAGATATTAAATTTGAATCAAATATGTTGGGTGGCACATGGGTACGTCACAAGGAAACGAGAAAAACCCAATTAATAACAAGACTCATTATTAATAGAAAAAACGATGTTGAGGCTTTTAGTTGTGGGAGGCAGGCAAATTGAAGGCAGCGGTCTGCAATCCAGCCAACTTACTTCCAGAGACGACCATTGTTCAGTCATAGTAGTTTCTGTCAGGTAGATGAGGCAGTTATTTTATCTCATCCCATGCAGTTGAATTCTCTTTTTCACCTTTGTGTACTGTCTGTCTCAACATGTGGCACTTTCTTTCTTATTAACCTGTTTAGGCTTTAGGCCTACAGTAGCTTCTCATTCTATATTTCTATTTGACTCAAATACTCCCAAGGTACTATATGGAAGTTGTCTATCATCTATAATGTATTTCAATCATGACTTGTAAGAGGCATTGAGGCCCTAATCAAGAGAAAAGGGTCTCAAGATTTTGCCTGCCAGTGGTAATGCAACAGCAAAGTCGAAATTCCACAGTATAAAGTACATGCACAAAGGCAGGTAAAATTCCAAAAAAAAAAAAAAAAAAAAAAAAAAAAGAAGTAAACATATACCGGCATAAATATCTCTCTTTGTCCATGCATCAATGAGGCCCTAATAGAGAGAAAAGGGATACAAGAGGAAAAACATAATTTAGAATTAGAGGAGAAGAAATAGAGGGATTCTATTCAAAGAACATATTTTCCCCCAACCAACATATAATATAACGATTTCAGAGCACATACGGTAGTATGCAGGAAGCAACACAGCTGCTTTGAGAGAGCTGCCACTGCCTATATCTCCTTATTTGCACATTAATAATATCTCCATCAGCAATTGACTCAGCAACACGGGCAAGAGAGCTCATTCTTTTCATCCCACTATCATCTTTCCCTATAGAACTCGGCCGATAATTAATATAATTTTCCTGTCACACATAGGCCACCAATGAGTGCAGACATAAACACAAGTTCACACATAGGCAATCAATTATTTATTTTCACTAGTCAATCAATAAAATTGAGAGTTTCCGAGCATCTACAATTCGCAAGCTATTAAGTGTAACCATAAGTCCACAATAGCAAATTCCTTCCATAATTAAAACAGATTCATATGCAATATAAGCAATTCCAGAGTACGTAACATCCAGTGAGATGAAAAAAATACCAGTAAATGAATTCAGAAAGAGAAGAGCAGACCTGGATAAGAAGAGGAACCAGATCAAGGTCACTCATGCTCAGGTCAATCCGTTCATCCATCCTCAACTTCCCACCATTGTAACCAAACAACCTACAAGATAATGCAATAAGAAGCTCATTAAACTTCTTTAAAAGATGCAATATAACATGACAATCATAATCCTTAGACAATCAAGCTCTCACTCTCCCCCAAAAGTGGACTGTGACAGATATTTAAAAGGGCATATAGAAAGCAGTTCTTTTTTCAAATTGTTCTATGTTAAATAAATACCCACTAATAATAACAATAACAATAATTTTGTTTTCCTCATAGGGGTGTGTCAAAAGAAGTTCTTATTTTAAATTTATTTCCTCAATACCCTCTCATCAAAAGATTCAGTCTTTGCCAGGAAGTCCCATAAACCCTTGGAGGTAAAAAGAAACCAGGAAGAGCTGCCGATTTATCCTCCAATATAATTCATCACCATATGCCCATTCATGGAACCAAAAGTCCAAAATTACCATTCGAGTGTATATCAAGGTAAATATAAAAGATTCTAAAAGAGAGTATAAGATTATAGGCAACAGATCAACACATGGGGGATGTATGGGTTTCTCCCCCGATCCCAACTACGAACATCCATAAGAAACAATGACAACAATAAATGAAACATAGAAACAGAGAAATTTTAGTAGTTCCAATTTCCAAACAACAAATTCTAAGAGCTACAGATTTTCAGGAGCTACTCATTGCCTCAATCTCCATATTATTACCATTCAAATTTTTCACACATAGCAATATCATTGGTCATTGGGTATCAAGGACTCAAGGTCATGTCCTATTTCTAAGAAACTTTGAAAATAAAAAACACAAGAGATCCCAAGGAGAAGCAATTTCTTTGAAAGATCACCAATTTGTTCACCCTCCAGGATCCTCAAAGTCACAAAATCATTTTTTCTTTCTAAAACCTCTGTAAATAAACTAAACTAGTTAACTAACTTTATTACCCTATTTTTTTTTTCTTCTTCTATTAATAAAAAATAACAATACTGGATTTTTTATCCAAAAAGATTTTTCATTTCTATGTTTCCTTATTGTATGCATCTCCAAATATCTTCGTTTATACATTTCCAATTCCTGTTGCCATGTCACCTTGCATTTACACACAAGCTAGCTAATCGAGAAAAAGAAAGAAAATTGCTACATACTTATCAACAGCAGTGAATGGTGATATGTCTTCATCTTTAGCATTGTTAAGAAGGCGCTGCCTAATATCATCATATTTGATAACTGACATGGATAAGCTCATATATTGCAGCTGGTTCACGGCCATGCGCATATCTCCATTACACCTCTCTGCCAGCTCTTCCAAAGCAATCTGTGCATACAAATTCAGATCACACAAACCAGTTGGCCATCCTACTCTTTAGACGAAGGGGAAAGTAATCAAACATGGAAGCCAGAATAAGAAAAGAGACGAGAAATTAAAACGGAGAGGAGGCAGCAAGCACCTCGTTCACTTGAATCCCTTCTGCATTAGCAATCTGCAGCAACCTCTTTGCCATCTGTCATAGCAATATATTTATAAGAAAATTTCTTTTATAAGCTCAATTCTAAAATTAATAGTTGTCTTATGAATGCAACATGACAAAAGTACAATGAAATTTAAATCTCTTCATCACGTGCTATAAGAAAATCTCTATAATATGTTATTATTAAAGATTTTAACATAGCAGTCAAATGAATAAGGCATAACCTACTGGGGATCATAACAATACCCCCTTGTTTCAAAATAAAATGAATAAGGATTTTGTGAGGACTTTAAATCCTTGTTTGTATACTCAAATCTTTATTTGTTAGTGTTATTCTCATTATTAAAACCCAGTCTCATTTCACATAGAATTTGGGGCAATGTTCCTAATTTATAATTTATATAAAATTAGGAAATCGAGATGTGGGGCATGAGAAATTACATCATCCCTGACTAATATATTATAACTCCAAGAACTTGAAAGAAAAAACTAAATTTCAGGATAATTACTTCAATATGCTCACAAGATGAAGTTCTCCATACTTTTCAGGATTTATAAACTATCACCCAGCAGCTATCCAGCTATAAGCAAACCATTGCTTGTTAAAAAGGGGGGTTAAACTTTGCAGGCAAAATCTCAAACAGGATTTATAAACTATCACCCAGCAGCTATCCAGCTATAAGCAAACCATTGCTTGTTAAAAAGAGGGGTTAAACTTTGCAGGCAAAATCTCAAACATAAAATATAGTTAAAGTTTGTTGCTTATATGATTACTACAAAGACCACATAACATAATAAGTTACTAAAAAGGCCTAACCATAAACTGCCAGTGTGCCACATAAAAACTAATCATACCTGCTGTTTTGTGGGCTTCCGGAAATTATACAGAGAACAATAGTTTACAAGACTTTTCAGCTTCTGACTGTAGCGGTCATTACAAATACAGATAATTGGAACTTTGGAGATCTTGATGCTAGCAATTACGTCTGCAACCCCACCTCGATCACCCGCAGACATGCCATCAACTTCATCCATAATAAGAACTGTCTTGGGGTGCTTTAACCTAGAATTTGATTCAAATTAACTAATAGGAGAATATACATCACATAAATGAGTTAACCTAATGTGCAAAACTAACCTATCCAGGTCACCAAGGGATTTATTGCTAATAAGCTCCTTTACAGAATTAGCAGTACTTCCACCAATTCCCTTGCCAATTTGGGAATCTGCCTTTCCACGATTGTCACTGGCATTAACCTAAAAGCATAAGAAAGACAGAAGAGATGGTTACAAAATTCCAACATTTACATATAATAATATTTTAACTGATGATGATGGTATCACCTCTATTATCTCATATTTCAGCATTTTACTAACTAACTTTGCTGAGGTAGTTTTCCCAATGCCAGGAGTTCCACTCATTAAGACAGCCTTTTTCTCAGCAGAATTGCTTTCCCTTTTCCTCTTTCCTTTATTATGCAAAAATTGCTCATCCCAATGTGATAACCAATCATGAAGATCTTTAACCTACAGCATGCAACGACAGAGACTATTTGTCATTCTGAATTTCTACAGAAGGATGGAGAGGATACATAAGGATGGAGAGGATGGGGAATAATGAACCAGTGCAATCAACAAGGGCATACAAGCTTTTGATTGCCAATTATTTCATTTGGAACTTTGGGCTTGTATTTCTCGGTCCATGTCAAGGAAGGACCTTGCTTTGACAAATCCTTTTTCTTAGCAGGTGTTGAAGACTTGGGAGCCTGACTGTTGGCAGAATAGCTTCCCACATCAGCTTCTGCAACAAATAAATCGCAAAAGGTTCACATCAGAGTCGTTAAAATGATCAACATACAAATAATGGGGATAACATATATAGTTGTAGACAGGAAAAGACCAACGGTTTGATGCCAAAGTAAATGGAAACATATTATTAAGTATACTTTTGGTCCATTGTTCCTAATTAATATTGCTTAGACTTAGATAAGATTATGGCAAATCTCCTCTTCACACACTTTCTGACACAAATTGAATCAATAATGTTCTTCATCTTAGACAAATCGACATAATCTTCCCATAATACTATGGAGTCCTTCAACATGCAGTTGTCATAGTCAGGTACAGATTGTAAAATTGCATATAAATCAGGTCTTAATGCAATTGCTTTTTCAACAAGCAGCACTTAGCTCACTAAGAATCAAGTAAAATTCCATTGTGAAAGCATGAATTTCAAAACTAGAGGCTCCATGTTACAGGGGTTGATCTTATTTTCTTGGTGTGTGTGTGTGTGGTGGGGGGATAGGGAGGGGCTATAGAGAAGTGTCCTGCCCTACCACATCAGCCCATTACGTGATTTCTGTAAGCTTCATGGTTAGATGCAAAAAACTAGGGCAGCTAAAATCATTATTGGTAGCCTTAATTAATATTCAGCGTCAAATCTCCTTTGACATGACAGACTACAAACATACGATATGACATGCCCTTGCCCAATAAATAATAATAATAATAATATAATAAATAAATAAAAAAAAAAAAAGTTTCATGGCATAATCCAAGATGTAATCAAAAGCACAGCCTACATGACAAGAAAGTGAAAATCGAATATAAGTTAAAAAAGAGTTCTCATGCATACTTTTCACAACCACATTCTGCTGAATTTTCTTTGCAGATGATGACGGAGTGCTTTCAGATGGTTTCTTTGAATTGCATTGGTCAGGCGTTTTTGATTTTTTTGACTTTTGGATCATATCAAACAAACCATCCTCTGTAAGAAAGGGTGTTCTGCATACAAAGTAAGACCCTAGTAAGAAGTCATAAAAATTGCAAAGGAAGAATCACTGAATCAGTAAATGAGAGGAAGAATCTAACCCCAATTCTTTCGCCTTTTCAGATTTCCGTCCCCCAATATCATCATCACATAAAAGAAAATTCTGTAAAGTATAGATTTAGTAAACTGCAAGAATATCTGTTGAGGGCAAAAGATAGTATAACACAAAATATAATGTTCATAGATCAGGGAAAAACCGTCTTCTTGCTAACAGATCCGGTAACACGACCTCCATGTCTCTTGATTAAATCTTCTGCTTCTTCCCTTTCCAAACTATAAGGCAAATATAGAGGTTAGGAGATGTCACTAATACACAATTCTCACAAAATATACAAATTTGGGAAAAGACCAATAACCATCCTTCGAGCAAAAATCTTAAAAGATAAAAGATAAGAATCAACCTGTAAAGTGTCCCAAGAATAATAAAAGAAATAATCAAAAGGCAGAAGGATATATCAAATGAACTATATCTTAAACTCTATACCTGTCAAGTGTCCCAGAAATTACAAAAGTCAACCCAGCTAAACAATCAGGAGAGCCTTCAGGAACTTCCTGGCCGAAGAAAAGGACAAAAGCAATAAGAGAAGATAAAGGAGAACACACTTAAAAGTACTGGATACCACCACGGTCACTATATAGGACAGTTATAAGGAGAAATCACATGATTAGCATTTTAATACCTTTTCTCCTTTGTGAGGTGGATCTTTCCTCTCACCAAAGTTCATAAATCCGCCTCGTCCACGTCCCCTTCCTCCTCCACCAGCAGCAGTGGCAGGTGCTGCTCCCCTACCACGAACCCTTCCGGCAGATTTGACAGGCGTTGGAGTCTCCTTTTCCTCGTCCATTTCCTCATCACTTTCATCAACAACCACGTTTTTCTTTGCAATACCCCTTCCTGAACTTCCCTTTAGCTTTTTGCTAGGAGTAGCATCAACTGACTTTTTTTTGGAACTAATTGGAGCAAAGTCGTCATCATCATCATCAACATTTTCCTCCTCTAATTTGTGAACCTTCTTCGCAGGTGAAGGTTTGGCAGGCACCTCCATTTTTTGGGTCCCAACTTTCGATTTCTCTTGATCTTTATCAAAGTATTTGCTTGTTTTCCTTCGTGCAGCACTTTCTTGACCTACCTAACTCACAATAACCACAAGCATATAAATTTACTACACAACTTTTTTTCACCAAAATCAATCACGAGCAACCAGATTTTTGTAAACACCCTAACCTGAGAGATCGTTATTTACACCCAAGGGTATATATTTGTTCATTTGATGATAAAATGAGCAATAATCATCGAAATGAGCAAAAAATACACTTGGGTGCACCATACACCTGGGTGCATAAAACAATTTCTACCCTAACCTTATAGGGAAACAACAATTTCAAAACCAACTTCCTTGTACGATCCCAGAAATCATTCTACCCAACCAAATATAGAAACAGCAGTAGAAAATTCAACACATTAAGCTCATTGAAATAAACAACTAACTATACCTAAATTCAACAATTTGATAAATTGGCACACTATCATTGTATCATATATAACTGTCAATTAACAAGTATCAATTGACTAACCGCTTTCTGGGTTTCAGAAGTAGTGGCTGAAGGTTTTTCAGATGCCGGTTTCGAAGCGGCCGGTTTCGCAGCGGCCGGTTTCGCTGCATTGGAATTATCCTTGTCATGTTTCTTCACAAACCATTTTCTAATATCTGACTGCTTGCAAAAAACATATAATTCCACATTAAAGTAACCCTTTTTTTTTTTGGCAAACACATTATTGAATACAAATATACATGATTAAATAAAAAATCTAAACAACATGAACAACACTCACCATGTCTGAAATGCAAGAATTACAAATGAAATTCTATCAAATTGTCCAGCCCCAATTAAATCTGCGCAAATACAAACAAAACCCCAATACCCTTAATCAGCATTGCAAATTCTATAAAATCCACAATAATCAAATGGGTAAAATTAGAAGGTTTTAGGGTTTAAAGAATCAAGAATTAAAGAATTTCATAAGCATAAAGTATTGACTTTTATTCAACCTTGTTTAGAAAAGCAGTGAAATTTAAAGAAATCGTCAAGAAATAATGCGGAATTTAAATGGGTTCAAGAACACAATCAAAGATTAACAGCAAAAACCCTAATTTATGCAAGGGGTTGTGTAGGAGAGAGAAACCTGGTGGGAAGCTTTTCCCGCTTCTCTAGTATTCCCTGTGAGCGCCTTGAGCTTTTCTCAGTACACTCGTAACCCGACACAAAAATTTAAAACTTCTCAAACACAATGGAAAAAAAAACACATTTATTAAGTTGTAATTTCGTAAATAAATCAATAATTTTACATCTATTTGTCAAAAAAAAAAAAAATACATGTAAAGTTATTCATTTTATTACGGAAATATTGTGATGACTACTACAATGGCTAACCGATTGATGAAAATATACTGTAATTGCTAATGTACTTGGTAACAATTGATCACTTTTATCACGAAAGATTGTGTACGGGAGGGTCCCGACAAAAACACTAATTAGCCGATAACAATCTTTATTACGTTGCTAATTATCTACTGATTAGCACGCTTGCTCAACATCCATAACGGCCTTCCTCTTGGCCACGTGGAGAGCTATTTCAGACCACGTAGGCACTTGCAACCTACAAGGTCGATTTGCCACCTATGTTGATAGGTGGCATCAGCTTGGTTATTTCCCTATATATACCCAAGCACATTTTCATAATAGAGGTACAATCTTTTTCTCTCTCTCTTCATTCTTTCTCTCCTCAAATTAATGACTTTAGCATCGGAGCGGTTATCCTCGAATAACTCCCCGGATTAGCTGATCTGTGCAAGTGCGAAATTGGACGGTAAACCTTTACCAACCCTCAAGAACTCTCGGAGCCGAAGCTCACCCGGAACAGATTGATATAGGAATGTTGGTGCTCTTTCTTTTAACAATGAACCCTCAAATAGTTCAAAACATTAAAACCATTCCTTTGTTTGAAAATGTTTAGTTAGATAAACTAAATCAGGGTATTTATAGTAGCAGAGAGTTAGTTGTTAAGTCAACAATTTGGTTAGCTCATATAGTCATACCTATAATTGTATTCTCCTTCTAAATGGGAATTTTCATGGTTTTGGAAACTAGATATTGCCCCAAAACTAAAGATCATTATTTATCAACTGCTACATTCAACCTTCTGACTAGAATTGTTCAATTTCGGATATAAGATCCAAATTTTCGAATCAAAATTAATGTGACTCGTATTGATAACCGTATATGATTTAAATATCCGATTTTTTTTTGAATATTCGACCAAATCGGATACCTAGAATTTTGGATAAAGTTTTCAAATTAAGTTAAAAACAAATTGGATGGAGTTAAACAACCCTACTTCCAAAAAAAAAACTATTTTTTTTATTGGTGGCCGAAAATGTCACTTCATCATAGTCAATTACTTCTTTCGTCTAAATAATGAACACACTTGATTATTTTAAATTTTATTTTTCTTGACTTTGACTATTTTTTAATGCTATTATATACGAGTAAAATAAATGTAGAGAGTACGAGAATATGATAGTTTGGATGGAAGAAAATTCCTCATAGTGCAAATAGGGCTAATAGGCTGAAAATTGTAATGCTGGACATTGTTGGGCTTGGTTAATCTATATCTATACTTCTATACTTTAGTAGTATTTAAAAACAAAAATCATCATCCTTATAATTAGGGGTGAGCAAAAAATCAGGGTACCCTGAATCGGAACCGGAACCTGTTAGGAACCGCAGGTTCCGAAACCAGAACCTATACAAGAGGTTCCGGTTCCGGGTAGCAAACTGGAGAACCTGTTGTAATAGGTTCTGGTTCAGGTTCTCAAATTTTTGGAACCAGAACCTGTAGGGTACCTGTACCTGATAAAAGTATCACTTAATTTCAAATTACACACTAATTCTTACTTAATTTTTAAATAATAAATATCAAAATTACAATTATAAAAATATATATATTAAATTTGTTAGACAACTACTATTAGTTTGTCTTATTTGCAAGTTGCAAACGTTATAAATTAGTGACCAACCAGTTTTTTATTAAAAATTCCGCGAAAAAGTTAGTGAGTATATTATAATACAGGGTAGCCTAAATCGGAACCGGAACCTACAGGTTCCGGTTCCCAATTTCTAGGAACCTGTTCAACAGGTTCCGGTTTCGGTTCTAATTTTGAGGAACCTATTGCAACAGGTTCCGGTTCCTGGAATTTTTACAGGGTACCCTGTTATGCTCACCCCTACTTATAATGCCACATGTACATTTTATGTTTTTTCTCCAATGCCACATGTCACCTCATTCAATCTTTATTTTTTTTAATCCCTTTTTCTCATATGAAAAAAAAGGGTTTTTCTACATTATAACCCTCCAACTTTCCGTTTTCTACGATGTGCCCCCTCTTTTTGAGAAATCTACAGTGTAACCTTAAAATACATTTAGCTTCTATACGGTAACCTTGTCGTTATCTTGGCGTTAACAAATTCCGTTAGTTATATTTTTTATCGATTTGCGTGTTAGAAATGGTTCCATTAAAGGTTTTGGGGGGTATTTTGGTCCTACAGGGTCCAAATTGAGCTCAGATTTCACAAAAAAATGACACAAATGTCTTATTTTGCATATTAAATACGTAAACACGCAAATCGAGACTTTTTTAATATTCAAAACGGGGCATTTGTGTTATTATTTTGCTAAATCTGAGCTCAATTTGGTTCCTTTAGGCCCAAAATACCCCCAAAACCTTCAACGGAACCATTTTCAACACGCAAATTGATAAAAAAATATTATAAAATGGACACATCGTATAGAAACTAAATGTATTTTAAGGTTACAGTGTAGATTTCTCAAAAAGGGAGGGCACATCGTAGAAAACGGAAAATTGGAGGGTTATAATGTAGAAAAACCCCAAAAAAAAAACTTTAATTCAATGCATGTATAATAATTGAAGGTTGTTTGGTTCACTTTCCTCCAGTTTAATTTCTACTACAATTGCATTTAATTTTCACCTCTTTTTCTCCTCTATAAACTATTCATATGCCAATATATATTAAAAAAATAATTATATATATTGTATACTTATTAATAAACCGTACATTGCACGAGCCAGAAGGCTAGTTAAATTTATGTGCTTGTTTCTTGTTAAAAAAAACAAAACAAAAAAAAAAAGTTCCTCGTATATCAAGAAACCCTTTTGTAAAGCTTATTTTGAACAATTTGCTAGAAGTTAATGAATTGTAGTCCTCTTTGGGACTATTTTCATTCAAAAAAACACTTTTCTTAATTCAAATTCCCTTATTTTCAATTTTTAATGAGAAGAACAAAAAGGATTATCCCTACCTTTTTAAAAGTATGTGATAACAAATAATTCTTATGAATAATGTGTGGACAATTATACCCTCTAAAATGTTTTTTACTTATTAACCCTTATTAATCCTAATTGCTCTCTTTTATGAACTCTTAAAAAAGGGTGCGGACCTTTGTATCCTTAAAAATATTTGTTTATGTATTTTCCCTCACTAATGATTCCTAAATTTGTGATATAAGGTCAAATCGAAAGCACTCCCCGGACATCACTATTTATGTTGCGTACATCGTACTCATTTGCTACCCTAGTAAACGTATAATAATAAAGCTCATAAAATACTTCGGCCAAGGGACTGAAAATCAGAGTCAATAAAATATACACTCTTATAGTCTTATCATAGTTTTGTAGTGATAATCAAATGCTTAAATTCAACTCTCACAAAAAAGAATATTGATCACCATGGAGTCACAGTCAACGCCTTCAAAATGATCTTCAAAGTCCTTAGAATCAGGATTTGGACAACGCTTGAAAAGCCAAGTAGTTTGCACAAATTGCTGTAGTGTAATTGTGTAAACCAGAAACTTGGTTTCTTACAGTCGGAATCAGCAAAACAACAGTATACCTGTGAACCTGTAACATATACTGTAAAGTGTGATCTGCAAGCTTGCTCCCGCAGTCCCGCTATCATTGAGATCATTTTTATAGAGCTCCATAAATTAATTCTCAACGTGAATTTCTTCTTTCCACACTAACAGAGCAACCATCTTCAATAAACACTTGCCAGACTTTAGGCTTCTACAAGAAAACAGGGAAACATGATATCACAGCTTTTAGAGTTATTTCCAGTAGAGTGTAATAGTAAAAGATGCAAGTGCATAATTACCAGTTGGCGACCTCCACAACATAAAGAAGTTCTCATGGCAATAGGCAACAGTCCGGACTTTTAGAAGTATCTGATAACACGTGGAAGGATAGATCTTGAAAACAAATTCCCCCAGCACGAGCCTAACGTTTGGAGTTATCTAGCAATCCCATAACCTTAATCAGAAATGCATATTCATAAGCCTTTTCCTCAGATTGCCCAAAACGGCCTCCTTCGCCAAAATGTCCTCCATACATTTCAGTCTTCAAGATGACAGCACGAGAGCAGCTTGTACATGTTTCTTCTCGTACTTTAGCCACCCATTTTGCAGCTTCCCATACTCCAACCCTGAGATAAACACAATCACACATCAATCAGTACTCCAAAGTCACTGGTCATGTCCCGTCAATTAAAAAAAAGTCATTGGTCATATCTTTGTCACGTGCTCATATTAAAAAATACTAAGCAATGCTTATCTGTATTTCTGTTTTGGGGGGATGGATTGATGTTTTGGGAGGGAGAAAATCACGATATGATGGAAGAGACAATAAAACTTACCTTGAGTCATTGAATGCTGCAGTGACAAGCATTGAAGGATAGCAAAGTCCCTTATTTATATTGTCATAAGGAGAGTATTCCATAATTTTCTCGAATTGAGATTCAATTTTAGGATTTCCGAATTCATCATAATCCAATATGGTTAGAGGCAAGCTGTCATCCATCAATGTGTTGCATACATCAAGGAAAGGAACCTGATATGCAAAGAATTTGATCAATATTGGATGTACAAATTCTAGAATTATATGCTTGTCAAAAAGCTTTGATGCAATGTAGTCTGTCTACATCTAGCAGAATAAATTCAAAAAAGCCAAAGATTGCAACAGATTATGAAGCATATGAAAGTAATCGGTAAACATGATAACTAGTATGTTGCCATCAGCCATCAACACAGCAAAAGTCACGTACTGTTTCTTCCATTGCTATTTTAACAGGAACACAGCTACCTCCATCCTTAGGGGTTACTTGGTCAGCCTACATAATCTCACTCTGGAAGTCTGGACCCTTCATACCACAAAGTGCTTAACAAAACAAATGAACCCAAAAGATGAATCTTTGATCTATCCAGATGTCTTAGCTCTTTTAGCTCACCCTATATCCTTCTTGCAATTAATTGAACCAAACCAACACGAGGTAAATAAAAAATTCAAATGATCCTCCGATTCATAATAGTACCTCTTTTGTTTTAGTCATTATTTTTAGTGTCATCAAAGTAAAAAGTTTGACCATACATTGTGATTTGTATGCATGAAAAACATCGTGTGGGATCTTGTTCGATTCATTTCAATGTGTATTTTCATAATATCAACTATTATAATTTTAGCTAATATATAGTTATAGATATTAACAGTCCAATATTTACATTGGAGACCACACAAAATGCAAGTGAGTAGAAAAATAGATGTAGTACAAATCACCCCTGAAAATACATTGACAATAACTATAAAGACTGTACTACTTATAATAGATTTGTATCAAAATTTATTCCATAGTCTTGTCTTTTAAAATAACTTATCACAAATGATGAGATAATACAATGGTCAAAGTTCTACCCTGGAAAACATAGCTGCCTTAATCCATTAAACCCCCTAATTCCCAAGCAGAAGAGTCAGTATTATGATTCAATAACTGCAGGACTACGGCAAGAGGGAAATTTTGTGTTGCAACTACAATACTCCTTAATCAAAATAAAATCATACTACTAATTTCACCATAGTTATAGCTTTTATTACAAGTTATTTGAAGATGCTCCACTAGTTTGCACTGGCTAAAGCTTAAAAGCTAGGTGAATCTAGACCTCTCTAAAATTTCATCCACAACAAGATGCATGCTGGCTGTAATTATTAACTTCACAAGGAGCTTCTTCTGAGTAATTCACTTTTTATAAACACATCTGACAAAACAGAGGAAACATAACCTCAATAGGAATGATGAAGAAATGACAATCAGTACCTTTAAAATCACAGCACAAAAGAGATCAGGATGAAAATTGATAGCAGCACCCACAAGCAGAGACCCGGCACTAGTTCCAATGGCAGCAAGCCTACCTTTTGTAGCATAGCCCTCATTGACTAGATACTTACCACATGAGACAAGATCGTATATAGAGTTTATCTTATTAGCTCCACTTCCATATTGATGCCAGGAAGGATCAGGACCACCTCCACCCCTGCTCATAAAAAATATCTAGCCTTCAGTTCTTAATCAGTAAAAAGGAGTGGGGGGGGGGGGGGGAGACACTACCAAATAGAACGTAGATATTTTCTGCAATAATTTAACTTGACAATTATGCCAAATCTACAAAATAGTGAGGCACTAAACAATGTACAATCCAGAGTAGCCTGGTCATATTAGAAAGTCACCCATGACCAACATTCAGAATGTAACACAGTTTTTACACACAAGGAGATTCAGGGTTCAATGAGAAGGAAGCCAAAGCACAGTGCTCCTTCTGCCACAGCATAGAGGGTTGAGGGTGATTCTGGGAACCTACTATAATATAACTATATAAGTATCTATCATTGAAGCTACCAATCAAGACTCATTTAGACTAAAATGACACCATATTTAGATAATAGTATAATAGTACACCTCAAGTACATGAACAAACCTTACATCAGCAAATGCTACTACCCATCCACAGTCAAGTAAGCTGAGGCGATCTGAGGACCAGCTTTTATCTAAGACTTCGCCATATGCACCATATGCTTCAAGGATCCCAGGAGACTGTCCCTTGTGATGCATATCTTTTGAGTATACTATGGTTAAAGGAATCTTGGTACCATCATGGGAAATGACCTCATGTATTTCGGAAGCATAATTCACCGAAAATTCGTTCCAGCTGTGTGATTTTTCTACCTCTTGTCGCTTGCACTTATCATTTCTAATGTTTGATAGTGGTTCACCATCAATACCAAATTTTGATGAGTCGGCAAGTGCACTTTCAGTAGCATACGACACCTCTTCTTGGTGAACAACATTAAAGCTACGTGTAGATAAGTCATATTCAACTACTAAATCAGGCATCTGCAAGTAAATGGAGAAGCAGAATGTATTAAACAAACTGCATTGGATATAAATGGAGAGGCAAACCACTTTATTAGTTCCATGAGCATTGGAAAGTGAAGCCATTACAAATTCACTGATAAGTAGTCATATGGATTGCGCACTCGATAGAGAAGAATGAATACTACATGTTTTTCCAGAAATTTCTATTGTAAAGCTGGTTGTACCTCTCTCTCTCTCTCGTACTATGATATGTACTATAACATCAAACTAGCGTAAAATAAGAAAAAATATTAAATAAGTCAAAAATGCAAGACCTTCCTTTGAGGTTAATCAGAGGCTATACCACAGGAGAGGAAAGAAGCACGCGGTACACTGAGGCCATGTAGTCATGGTTTGATCCCGGGGCCATTGTGCACAGCTCAGAGGGTATAGGGAAAGTCCAAGGATTCAAATCTTCAATCTCCACGATGCGCTGAGGAAAACCCATACTGTAAATATTAATATAAGATTTATGTATGGATAAGAATGTTAATTTGAAAATCAAAGATGCGATCATAAATGAACTATTATACACTCCGTGATACATATTAAATGCCGTGTGTATCAACAAGACTAAGCCCATATGAGGGCTGAGGAGTGACAGCAAAGCATGGGAATAGATAAATTGACAAGAGGTTAACTAAAAAGAGGTGTGAAACAGTATAGTCATTAATTCATTATAGCGCATCATAAGATGCCAATTTGACAATCGAAAAAGAAATAAGTGATGTTAACCAAAGAAATGAATTCATATTAAAAATATGGAGTTTAGTCAAAAGATCCAGTGCTAAAAATTACACACTTTAAGGGAGAAGGAGCATACAAAATGCTCTAGCCAAGGTTTAGCAAATAATATACAAAACTAGGTCAGAATATCGACTGAGATCCTTATCAGAGCCTAAAAATGAACAAAATATATATGAAAGGGGGGATAATATTAATGGCCTATTGACTGACTGGCAATTTTATGAATTAATCTAAGCTCATTCTCTATGATCTCTATAAATAAATTATAGATTAATCAGTCTCCAAACTATATTATTGTTGACTCCTAATCAAACAGAGCATGGAATTGCATAGAGAAGTATTGCTTGAGTCCTCAATCCTATCTCCTAATACCATACAGGAAGGTCAAAGCCTAACCTAATGCTCCCTTTCACTCTTAGAGGTGAAAAGCCATAATGGTTTACCTTACCCTAAATGAACATGGTTCTAAGTACAAACAAAGCTGAAGCAATTGAAGGGTCAAGGTAAACCAAGGTTCTCCTCAAGCTTCTTACCACACCTTCCAGGATTTTTGACCAATGTAAAATTGTTAAAGAATTTGTTCTTTATTCCATTATACTATAAAATTGTCTTCCATAAAAGATTCAAAAGACTACAAACGAGATAGTAGAGAGAAAATGATGACATTATGTGAAGCTGTTGAGAACTCGGGGTACTTAAATTTGGTCAATGGATATGATTTAACTAATGCACCGATTTACGATATTATTTTGGCTAAATTACATTCAAATGTTAATGGAAGGAAAATTAAATTTACAATCTAGGACATGATATGCAATATTTGAAAATGTCTTTGGGCCCCCAAGAAGCTAATTTATAAATTTATCCCAAATTGCAATAAGCGATTTCGTTGTGCATGCATGTTTGGCATATCTAGTACCTTGTTGTTGACATCAATAGGCAGATTAACAGAACAAATCATAGAAGAGCCCTCCTTGTCATAATAAAGGACCAAATTCTTATCAAAAACGTCCATATCCTGCAAGCTGGTTCCCTTTTTGGGCAGTATAATATTCTGAAAAGAAAGGCACATCAATCACTATATAGGGCAATATATTCTGAAAAGAAACGGCAATATATTCTGAAAAGAAACGGCAATATATTCTGAAAAGTTTGGATCCTGCAACCTATATTGTAACCTTTATTTTTTTTTTTGGCAATATAGGTTTTGTTTAATAATAATAATCTATCATAAACAATATGTTGCTTAGAAGATTCCTCTGTGCCCCTTTTGGATTTCAGTAACAAACATCCATTTTCATATCCTGGTTAGTTATAGTTATAGGTCAGTGGGACAAGCAACTTTATAGGACTATTGACTATATATTTTACAAGGAAATAAGCCAGGCGTTCTTTGAAAAAGAAAGCTTTGATAGTGTAAGGCTAGAGAATGACCTGCCAATCAGCAGAATTTATATCTTCAACTCTGCAGATACCAAGATAAAAGTTTCCACAATGTAGCTTCTCAACCTCTACTGAAGGATGATTTGTAAGAACATAGAAAAAACCACGGTGATGTTCCAAAAAATACTGCACACCATGGACACGTTTATGCACTCTGTGGAGACTATCAAATGGATTTGCTGCATCAATGACATAGACCTTTAAAACAGAAGATGTTCCAAATTAGGGTGCATAATAGAATTCAGACATCAGAAAAGAAATGAGCATACATGGATTCCATCACACCTCTGAAGAAGACCTTGAGTTAGAGTTTATTGTAACAAACTTGCCATCCTTTGAACAAGTAATATCCACACAAAACCTAGAATCTCTCTCTGTAAATACTATTTTTTCTTCATTTGACCCCAAATATGTACAAAATACCCTGGAAAATGAGGGTGAAAACAATCCAGCAATCCAGAACTGAACAAATGTAAAAAAGGATGGGAGGAACTTACCTGTATGGTCTCTGGTTATCATCAGCAACGGTATAGAACAGAGCAGATCCGTCTTGAGCCCATGCCAGGCTAACAACTGCATCAGCTTTAACACTTGAGATGATATGACCATATCTCAAGTCTTTCACCTGAAGGGTGAATTGCTCAGAGCCATTTTTATCAAGAGTATATGCCAGAAAGTTGTGGTCAGGTGAGACCCGACAAGCACCCACATGAACATAACCTGAAGAATGAAATGAACTAGTATTTTAATGAAACACAGAACCCCTTGAAGTTAATGACGCCATAGATGAGAGAAAAATCCAGCACAGGAAACATGACAAACAGAACAACAACAGCAGAAATAAAGGAACCACCAAATCAACATGAGCCATAGCATACAGCAATAAATAATTATATTATTAAGAAAAAAAAAATAGCAGTCCTAATTTGAAAATTGTGTTTTGCTTTTGCCATGCAGAAGCAACAAACACATGCACTTCCTTCCCACTAGGAATATTTTACTTGTAATTCAATCATGGTAGAAAGCTACCCAACTTTCAAGGTTTCTGCTAGAAACTTGACAACTGGAAATGAGATATCTCACTTGGGAAGGTTTATACAGAAGTGAGCCAGAGGCGAATAAGTGATTGCCTGCAGGGAGCCATGAGGCACTTAACAGATCATGCTCAAGAGGAGCAGCTCACTGGTTCAGATTATTAATTGTGGAGGTCAATAATAACCTTAAATTTTTTACGTAGTATATAAAAGTTTAGAAAATGTAATTTTCTCTAATATAAACATCCTCGGTTCAGGTTTATAAGCAATAATTGGAATTTGACACTATTCACACACTCTCCTTTGACCATCTTTACCGATTTATACTTGAGGGAAAACATAGTCATGTGGGATCTTGTTAGATCTGTCATAGTAAATACATCATAATATTAATCATTCATAATTGTTACTGATATGTTATTAAAAATTAAAATGTGCATTGGCAAGTGTGAAACTCCCAACTTTGCAATTTAAAAAGAACGGAGGAAGTATACTGATGAATAACTAGTTTATACTAAAGGCATAAGCTTCAATGAAGTATACCAATGAAAAACTAGTATACCATAAACTAGGTATCATCCTCATTTAGTGACATTTACGAGCTTCAAAGCTAATTGTTAATAGAGTCACGTATCATTCTGTCTATCCTAACATAAATTATAAGGGCCTTCACTAGCATCACAACTTTATTTCAAAAATTTTGCTTTCACTGTTATCTCGGTCACTTAGCAAGCACTCTAGCCGACTGAACATCAATTACAATAACCTCAACAAGCATCAGACCCAATAAAATTAACAACAGTTCAACCTTTAGCATATAAAATGATCACGACTTGTAATTTCATAATAATAAACAACTTCAATGCAGCTCTTCTTTTTATATGACACCAAGCTAACCAGTACGTCAAGTTCAATATTATTCCCCTTTTGCTTTTCTTTTTGTGTGGTGTGTGCAGAGAGGGGGGGGGGGTGTTCACTTTTACTAGGTTTCTGTGCTTGAAACTAGATACGTAAGAGCTTACCATATTTTTTCGCAATCTCATTCCAATCAAGCAAAATCTCCTCCCTTTTAAATCCTTGTTTTATGATACTAAATAAGCTTCCTAGACCTGTAGATTCTTCTGTATCTAGTCTTCTACACAAAATAGGGTATTCTTTCCCTTCTGGAATGTGTTGGTAGTAGAGCCTGGGAATAACAGCACAATAATCAGACATTAGGGTATTGAAGTAATTTTTCATTTGATCTTTATACAGATACTTAATAGCTGAAAAATGTACCAACAAGACAACAATATTTCGAGTGATGTCATGCTATCAGGTGAGAGGTAAAATAAAACTTCTTTGATCACTCATACACTCTCAAGCACATGTTCTCCCAGAAAAATGTAACTAATAGGTAAAATCACATTTATACTAATGAACTCCAATGGGCTACAGTGTTGTATACAGACTTCACCTCCGATTCGTTAAGCCACACATTTCATGACAAGACGATGCTCATTGAATCATTGTAGCAAATTAGCAATAAATAGAAGATGCAAACAATATTTCAGGCGCCAATAGTGCTAGAAAACCCATGATGGAATAGTCTGAAAGCTTCTTTCAGACAGGAGAATGTTTCAAGTAGGGAATATAAACACACCTAGGACCCCAAACAAACACAAAACATTTTACATAACACTTTATCGCAAGTTGATACTGTTATAATACTTGCTACCTTATATTACATTATCAATCGTAAATAACCTACTTTGACCCTTAATTGTTCGCTATTAGACTCCACTCGCTATAATGTCTAGATTAATCACTAGAGTTAAAAGAAGTAAGTAACTTGAAATATTTATAGAGTTAAAATTCTGTTAATGAGTGTTATATGGAAGGTAATGGATGGAAAAAAAAATACCATATATAAAATAGCCATTAAATTGAACTGGAAAACGGAGAATTATAATACTGGTACAAATTATATAACCATATTCCATACAGTTGAGACAGAGTACAGGAAAGATGAAATCTGCTCCCATGCTTGGGAATGAGCAAGCTGCCCAAAATTCCGCTTACAAAGTTACTTAAATGTAAAACCACTAAGTCTATTAGCATCACGAAAAACCATCCATTGCCATTACCTTTGGTGTTGGGCAAGCTGCCCAATCTAAGCTATAGCTTTTCATTTCTCATACCAAGACTAAGTCCCCAATTTGAATGTAGAAGGGCTCAGAAAGTCGGAATACAAGAGAAGAAAATTTTAAACCAAACATTCAAAGACCACATACTCAATTATTAGAACTTGACCATTTGGTTAAATGCACAATGTAATGTTCCACATTGAACAATCATAGAGCTGTATGCTGATCATCAAATACAAAAACAATTTATACAAACAAACCAATTTACCATTATACAATTACCTCTAACAAAACTACTCAAACTACATAAGCAATCAATTACATCAAGTAATTCCACTTCCCTCCTTAATTGACCTGCAATTATACCCGAAACGAATGCCAAACATAATAAAATAAAATGAAGACAGTACAATACCCAACTACCCATTATACCAAACCACATAGAATCAAACAACTGAAACAAACAAACAAAGCTTATGAACATAATTCAATACCAAATTATCAAAACAATCACCAAACACAAATTAACCAAAAGGGAATCTTCAAAAACAAGAAAATCGAAAAGGGTAATCGAGAAAACAACGAACCAAGGGCCCCAACGTTCAGGAGGAGTAGAAATTTTGGCGGGAATCCGACTACACATCTCAGAGAAAAGCTTCCTTTGAAAAACCCTAGTATCAGCCATGAAAGCTTCAGCATAAGAGTTCTCTTGAGAGAGAAAATTGACGAAATCTGGGTCGTTGATGTTGGACATCCAGTGGTAAGGATCGTTCCAAGAGCGGCCATGAACAGTGACTTTGAATGGGAGTTTCTTTGGAAATGGTGGGTCAATTGAAGGGTAATTGAAATGGGGTTTGCGATTACAGAGAGTGGAGAAGAAGGTGATTGAAATGGCGGGAAGGAAGCGGAGAGAGATTGGGATGAATTTGGGTTTGAATAGGAGAGAGAGTGACATTGCAAGGTTGAAGGTTTAAGGAGTTTTAGTTTTGGGGTTATATCGTTGACAACTGAGTTCTGTTGCTAAATACTCCTATTGGTGCGGGTTTGCGACTGAGCAAGTCCAAAAGGACTCTTTCTAACATGACTCACTTGAACACGAGGCCTGCGGCATATAGGTTTGTATGACTCAATGCATGATAATTTTACACTTATTTATACTGTACAATTGATGGTAAAATACTAAAATCAAAGATATTTGTTTTACACTGTAACTATTATTAAAACTGGTAATGTTGATATTATTGATGGACACATGTTGAATTCATATGAAAAATGTTCTTATCTAAATTATTTTATTTTTAATAGGATCTTGGAAGCGAACGCTTTTTGCCTGTCCTTCGAAGCGTTAGAGAAGCATTTAAAATATTTTCTAAAGTGGTATTAATTTGGAAGTGCATGTCAAAAGATCGATGTAATTAATGTTTGTTGAAACTCATTGTAAACCTACTTGTGAGTGCTACACATTGGAGAAAGGGTAGAGTTGAACCCACTTTATAAAGTAGATGAGTTACTCCTACTATAATTGGTTTTAGTATAGAACTTTTTTAGGCTTGTGTGTGGACCAAACTCTCTTCATCCTCGTTTGGGTTGCCCAGACCCAGCCCATTTCGTATTATCTCAAACTTTAGCATGGTATTAGAGCACTCACAATGGTGGGGAGCACCCTCCCCACAACTCTCCCTCTCTCCTCCATTTGAGCTATCTCACCATTGTAGGAGGTGACTCATGGGTAACCCATAGGTTGGGGATGCCCTCTCTGGCGGGTCACCTGACGCCTCGGCCCACGTGAAGCTCAGCTCATCTTTTCAATTTTTTTTGTCATATTGTGAATTAAAACGGCACTAATAAATCATGGTGGGGGTATTGATAAAAGTATGAGAGAGAGTAGTGGGGTTACTCACCATTGTAGGAAAAATAAGGGAGTGACTTAAGAGAGTGACTCAAGATAGTGGAATATGATGTGGAGGGAGAAAAGTAGGGAAGAGAAAGTAGCGAGCCACTCCACCATTGTGGGTGCTCTTAGAGCTCAGGTTACTAGTCTCTTCTAAACTAGGTATTTAATCACGGTTGGCCTGGATAAGGATTTACCTCGACAAGATGCTTAATGGTTCAACTCTAATCTTACGATCACCAATTACTTTTTATACAGAACTTATTTTGGAATTGCTTGCGGATCAAACTCTCCTCCTCCTTGTTTGGATAGCCCGACGTCGCCCCTGGGGCGTTTATTAGCTTTTGTGTTTATAATATTATCCTTTTTTCCTTTTAAGTTCTAGGACTACGTAATAGTTTCTTTCAAAAAACTTAATTAACTCCTTTAATTTCTCAATTGGTACTTGGGTTGTGTGGCTATCAAACCATGTTAAATTCAAGAACAATAGGAGAAAACGACTTAGTCTTGCATTGATGATTACGATAAATATATATACACAATATAAGAGACCTAACTTGTCTAAAACTCTTAACCAGATAAACTTGATAAATATACAATACTAACATATATAAAACCAACCCGAATTCTAATAAACCAGGCCAAGTGGTGCGAAAACCATTTCCCTTGATCAAACGTACAACTACAACTGTTAATTAACTAACAATGACATGATTAATTGAAATATCGTTAATTGGAAGTAAGTATTCATTACTATAAAGTTCCGATTTTTATTTATTCCAAGACTTTGACTACTTTGACATGTACATAATACATTATGGAAGATTATACAAAGTACTAATTCGTATGATAAAGTTGATTAAGACCATCTAATTAAAAAATTAATTATAATATTATTAGTACTGAAAAGTTAAACGACATAGAATTACATAGTAAACATATATATATAGTTAATCTTCCAAAATGCCGGCTCTAACCTAAGCTTTACGAAGACAAGCTCCCCTATTTTGCTAATTACAATAGTTTTTTCTTCTACCAAAATTGTGACCTAATATTAATTAAAATAAATATTGGTCTAAGTTTTTTTTTTTTTTTTTTGTTAATTCCCCTAAATTATGCAAACGTAAAATTAGCCATGTTTTATGGATGAAGGGATTTATTGTGAATGGGTCGTCTTCTTCGGACTCTCCGATAATCCATGGTGAATAACTCGGTTGGGTCATGAACTTCTTCCCATTCTCTCCATTTATCTCCTGTTATTTGCATCATATTTACATCTTTCTTTTGCAACTCACCTGAAAGTTAGGAAAATGACATATTTAATCATAAGATCACTTAATAGTTACATGATAGTATATGCTTCTAACTACAAAAAAACCGTACCTCATTGCTAAATACTACTCCATCCCTCCGTCCTTTTATTAGAAACTCATTTTAAATATTTATTACTCACATAATAAAAAGAAATAGGACTCTAATAAACGGACAGAGAGAGTACGTACTACATATAATAATTTCTAGTTGCCATACTAAAATGAAGAAAAAAAATAATCGTCTATTTCCAATATATAATGTTTGAACACAAGTTTAAGTGGACACACAAGTACGTGTTAGAGAAAAAAATAATAATTTAACGTTCATTAATCGATATACTTATTTGCATGCGCATAAACGCATTTGTGTAAAGCGTTGTGCCACTTTTTGAATATAAAATATAATCAAATTTCTTTTATTTTATTTTATTGTAACTAAATAAGTGAAAACTTCCATTAACTCGACAAAAAAGGGTTTTTGCTAATAATATGATATAGGTTGGCCTAAAATCAAGTTTTATCAAGCACTATATTAAAAGTCAAATTAATTTTATACAAGTATTGAATATTGATGTATTATATTGCATGATGAATAGCCAGAAAAGTAGGAGTAACTACCACCCTTTTGGGAGATTTTGAAACAGATGTGATGTCTATTTGTAGGAGAGAAAAAAAAAAGGCTACATAGTACTTATAATTAATTAGTTAAGTAAGTACAAGGTGGAAATAAAACCACCTCGGACGACCTATTTAATTGCTTCTTCAACTTGGCTATAAAGTATGCGGAAGATTTATATACAACTCTCTCACAGCCCCTAAGATATCATTGCTTTTATTACAAAGTTTGATTACCCGTAAAAGAAATTGAAACGATTCAAAAATAACACGGTTGCAGATTATATATGTATAATATAGAACGATTTAATTGGATATGTTTTGGTACAAAGAACCATGTGCCATTGTAGATTTGTAGTTTATATTGAGTACGTAGTTCATTTATATGCTACTCAATCTTATTAATCATCACTATCTATCTATCGTTCAAGAAAATGCATGATATGCTTATCCATATAACAGATTTAGTTTTAATATAAATATCTTCATTGATCATTTTCACTCTCTAGGTAAACTATAATTCGAAGTATTAATGTAATTAACAAAGAAATACTTCTTTGTCAAAAAAAAAAAAACAAAGAAATACTTTTATATATTATATGATAATATGAATATACTCGTATAAATTTTGCTACATTACCTTAATTTTTTTACAATATATTTACTACGTACGAAGTATGACATTACATTTCAGACTACTTGATCAGAGAATTTAAACAATAATGTTAAAAGTTTTGCAGCAATAATTTTGATGTAAAAAAGAAAAAAAATAAAAAATAAAATCGCACGTACCTAGAATTTCATTCTTTGCCTTCATATGTGACTCAACATGTTTACTAGTCTTAGTAACCTGCTTATTGAAAATGAAAAAAAAGGTCATACATATGGCAAAAATTAACGCAAAGAATAAATATTCCATTGGAAATTTTACACCAAGAAGAAAAAAATGACAAAGAAAAACTTTCAAATACGGAGTTATTAAAATTGATGGATAGATTATTATTGATGTACATTAGTACATACATGAGCAAATTGTATAATATTCAAAATAATACTCAACGTCAAATATATTGATATTCGTCCTAAGACTTGTAACAATTTAATTTCATTCTAGGTGCAGTAGAGTTATTTTGATGTTTAGGGAGCCACAATGACTAACGAAGTAGCAAAGGCATACGCCCTTATATTAGCTTGTATGTAATAAGTGATAATAAGATGTACATATTGAGTATATGTATGCAATGCAATAACCTTTGTACGTACCTTTTCCACGGCGTTGAGCTTCCTAGGAAGTGAAGTGAAAGAAGGATGAACACCATGAAGTTGGAAAGAAGTACAAGGTTTGAGCAAAAGAGAGTAGAAAAAGCACAAAAAGATAGTTATCTTAAGAACAAGTTTGTTATTCATTTTAACTAGATAGTTGTTTATGTTTTGTTTAGGAAATGAGAATACATATTGTGTAGATATAATAAGGGGGTGTATATATATAGAAAGAATACAAAAATCCATGAAATAGGGAATGTAGGAGAAGTTGGTTAGGTATTGCAAGGGGACAAGCCAAACAAGAGAGAGACAAACACAAAACACAAAATGGAGAGAGTTCCAAAACAAATGTAAGTTTCAATATAACTCAAAGTTGTATTCAATTAATTCCTTTTTAGAAGTTATCATCAAACCATTTGGGTTGGTTTTGTCTTGCGTGCCCTTTGTCTTGTTTTGTGTTTAGAGCCTTTGCATTTGCTTTCGTGGGGCGGTTGTTTTCCCTTCTTTCTTAGCTTGTTCAAATATGCTTTACATGTACTAAGTACGGATTAATATTTGTTTGTGTAATTGGTAAATATACGGGAGGGGTATCGTGCGTGTCTTGAGATATATACCTGATCGAGACCTCCATTTAATCTTGACTACATTCAAGTCTTTGTGGTTCTATACTTCTATATAAGCCCCAAACATGTATGGGAATTAAAATATATGTAGTGCGAAATATTTGTTATTTAAGGGTGTATTGTGTTCTACTACATACGGTTACATCAAAGTAGATCTTAGTATTTTGAGTATGTCAAAATATTTGTTATTTATGTTTGAGTATATCAGTGTTTAACAAAGTAGTGGTGAGTACTAATTTTTACAGTAGATTTTAAGACGGTGTTCTTTACAAGAATAACCGATAATTATTACATGTTGAGGTAACTAACTACACCTCAAATTTTGGAATTTTTTAAGTGAAAACTATATGATATTTGCATAGCTACGTATAATGCATAAGTACAGGGCCGTCTCCGAAAATTTGGTGGCCCTGTTCTAACTATTAAAATTGGACCCTTCAATATAAATTATAATTATAAAAATGCTTTATTTTTTTTAGTACAGTACTACAAATTATTATAGAGTTAAAATATTCATATTACTAAGTTTAATTGTAATTCCATAAAACAACAAACAAAAACTTTTTATTTAAAAAGTGTCATCCTTCTAATATATTTTTAAGCAAAATCCTTTTTTATAATTTCATAATCAATTTAATTTTGTTTTGGAAATAAAAAGGCAAAGTCGAAGATTTAGGATGAATTTTTAGGTTTTAGTTTGAAAATGGTGGTATTTTATAGGAAGTCGGGGAAGAAGGTGAATATATAAGGTTATGATTCTTTTTTAAAAAATTATGCGCCCTTGATTTTTGGGGGCCCTGTTCTGTGTGTGAGAAAAAACATGTCTAAAGAGTAAAGACGGGCCTAGATAAGTACTTTTATGTACAAGTAGTAGTAAATGGGATTAAGAAAGTGATAAATTTATGGTTCATTTGTACGTTTACATTTTCAAAGTATTAACAACTTTATGAGATGATGAAGAGGATAGTAATTAGCTACTCTAGAAATTTAAAAAAATAATTACCTTTTTCTAGTTGTTATGGAATGTTAGATACATCTATAAATAAATTTAGTGAAATTCTGAGAAGTAGGGTTATTTGTCAAGATGTGAGAGATTTCTTCCTGTAAAAGATGACTTCTGCCTTGGAAAACTACTAACAGTATAGATTTACAAGTAACACCATCGCATGATTATTTATATTTTATTATGAATAAGATTTGGGGAGGATCCAAGATGATGGTGAGAAAAATAGAACTTTTTCTTATTTATAGTAGTATAATTTAGATTGAAATAGTAGTCTTTGATAATGTTATGAGAATGGGAATGTTGCAAAGTTTGAAATAATGGATTGTTTATAGTGTTAGGTGTTACTAAGAATGTTAAAAGAATTATGGAATCACTAAGATATACTTGAGATTTTTGAGATACATATAAAATACACATTCACGATTACAGAGAATAATATCAAAGAAAATCAATCATACAATAATCATTTATGATATCATGATATCAAAGCTTTTGAGAGATATTATCATAATATCAACTTTTTAAATGTTTATAAATTTTAACATAATATTAATAGATAGATCATTAATAAAGTTGTACATTGATAAGTTTTACTACGAGTAAGTGATATTTAAGAACAGTACAAATGGTGTAACCCTGTAAATCACTTTACTGAAAAATACTTTTTAATTGTTCCATTAATATGTCACACCTTACAAGATGTTATAACTATTACACATTTGTCTCATAATACAATATTTCTTTGAAATTTTAGTTTTTATGCGGCAATTTAAAAAGTTGTAAATTCCTTAAAACTAATGATTAGAAGTACATATATGCATGCAGGGTCAGAGAGATAGAGAGAAAGAAAAAGTACTATGTGGTTGAGAATATTGAAGAGATAGAGAGATAAAGTGTTGGAAATTGATGTTAAAAGTACAAAAAAAAATAGAAAAGATAAAAACTCATCAAAAAGAGGGTAATAATGTCTAGGAACGAAAAAGATATATACAACCCTAAGGGTTGCATATAAAGAGCTAAAAATAGAAAGAATTGACAATAAATAAACATTTATTACATCGATTTACTCGTGAATTGTCGATAAATACCCAGCTTAATACTAAAAAGGAAGTATACCCTAATGTCTAAAGATAAAACCTTTAAATAAAAAGAGAGATTGTATTTTGGTTTACCTAAAATGAAAAAGAGACATTCTATTACGAAACAAAGGGAGTACTTCATAATTTCGTATGATCATTAGATTATTAAATTGTTAGAATTAGCTATTAAAAGTAAACATAGAAACGAAGAAAAAAAAAAAACATTTGATCGTTATAAACCTTTTTAGTTTGCATGTCTACACTCTACAGTGTTCAGGGGTTATTGTCTTCAAATTTCGACACAACTTAGTAGCCATTTCCAGCGTTCGTCTTCTCTGGTCTCAAAAAAGGCTAAGGATCTTCCTTAAAGTGTTTTGAGTTACAAGATAAAGTTGTACTCCTTTCCATTTTAAGAGTTAGGAAAATTTACAAATTGCAGCCATTTAAAATTCGTATTTTGTAAATTGCAGCCTTTTAAATTCTTTTTTGCAAATTGCAGTCCAAAAGTTTGTATAAATTGTAAATTGCAGCCCGATTCAATTTTTTCATCGGTTTACATGTTGAAAAATCTTCGGTTAAAGTTTTAGGGGTCATTTTAGCCCTTAGGGGCCCGAATTGAGCTCGGAATTAGCAAAAAAAAATAACGTAAGTGTCTCAAATTTACAGTTTCCTACAATTTTTGCTAATTCCGAACTCAATTCGGGCCCTTAAGGGCTAAAATGACCCTTAAAACCTTAACCGAAGATTTTTCAACATGTAAACCGATGAAAAAATTGAATGGGGCTGCAATTTACAATTTATACGAACTTTTGGGCTACAATTTGTAAAAAAAAATTTAAAAGGCTGCAATTTGCAAAATACGAACTTTAAATGGCTGCAATTTGCAAATTTTCCTAAGAGTTAATAACACTAACTATATGTATTCGGTATCCCATGTTACTCATTAAGAAAAGTTATCAATTTTGTAGATGAAAAATGAATAATAATGCTACACTTCCTTACAAAAATCTATTTTTGCATAATATGGGGATGGGCATTCTTGTCCATCTATTTTGGTGTTAAAAGAGTTTAATCTGCTTATAAAGACGATAGAAGTAAGTTTCATACTACTACATTTTTTGTAGAATAATCGTAATAATTTGACTTTTGCACTATTCATATAATTACTTTGATTATATTATATTTCTTTGTAAATAAAAAAAACAAATGTTGTGAGGTAAAAGTTGTTGGATTAGTCTTTATGTAAATTTTCATTAGATTAACTTTTCTACTTCTTACAATACTAATATAATTGCAAATATGATAGTCAAAGTTATGCATTGGCACATGTACTAACTAGACTGTTGCATTAGTTAGAGTATTGCACTTATTTTCAAACTAGTTATTGACCCGGGCGATGCCCCAGATCATCATAAATTATAAGTTTTATTAAATTAAATTAGAAGAGTTAATGTTGAACAATATTAATAACTAATTGAAAATGTAATAAGAGGTCAATAAGAAAAGTTTTACAATTAAATTAAGGAAAATGTTATATATAGGCCTCTTAAATTAAACACTATTGTATTATATAGCATTAAAGTTAAGCCAATGAAGAGTTTTTGTTAAAGATACTAAACATTAATACAATTTAATATGGTGAGAGAAGAGGGATGACACATAGGATACCATGTAGTGCATATGTGGCATATGAGTGACACATGTCATTAGCATGTTGTCTCCATGAGTTTTAATAATACTAGATGTAAGCTCGTGCGATACACGGTTCTAGTAAATCATTTTATTTAATTAAAATTTTGTATATTTATGAAGATCATTCATTAGATATATGGATAAAATTCCTAATATCATAAGATAATTTTAATTTTAACACTAAAGTTATCTTTTGTTGTTTTATTTATTTTACGTGACGCTTGAATTTAAAATTTCAAACCTTATTCACTAATTTGCTTATGTGACAATTTAAAATTTTTAATTCAAAAAAGAAATGACAAATCTCATTTTTTATTGATCAAAATAAGTCTTTTGCCTATGCGTTTATTTAATATACTCGCTCTGTTTAAAATGTAAGTCTCATTTATAACTGGTTAACTATTAAAAATTATGGGAAATCAGTCATATAAGATTTAGTTTTATTCGTCTTGATGAGTACATTATTAAAATCGAACTTTTATAATATTTGTTAGGGAGGGATTAAATATACGTAGTATTTTCCATCAAAAATTTGCATCCATATGTGTAAAAAAGATATTACTTAGATTTTTTTATTTAAATTTAAATTATTCTCTATTCTATTCGTAAAACCAAACTTTTACAATATTTTCTAGAGAGAGATTAAAGACATTTGCAATTAAAAATTTGCATGTAAAAAAAGATAATTATTATTTTTTTTTAGAAAAGATAATTATTGGTTTTTTAAAAAGTAATTTAAATTTTAATTATTCAATACCTATGTGTCAAAATTCTTAAATCCTATTCGTCACTTTTGCTTAGGTGGCGAGTAAATTTTTTAATTCTAAAATAAATTATTAATCTAATTTTTCATTGGTCGAAATAATACCTTTTCTGGCACGCCAAATGCTCCCGAAAAATGCCTACTTTATTTATATATATATATTAGATTATAGATGTAGGGATAAGCAGATAATTCCTTTAAGACGAAACACACAAGGACAACAAACGGGATTCATAATAATAATGGATTCCAATTCCATCAAATTGTAGTAGTCTTTGCTAATGTGCAAATTCCTACAGAAGTTTAGGTGCTCAGCTACTAATGTAGTTTGGGCTAGAGTTCTAGTTTGGATATGGATAACTTCATGGGCCTTAACTAGTATTTCATATTTTCTTGGAAAATTTGCAAATTGCAATCATTTAAACTTCGATTTTGTAAATTGCAGCCATTTAAAATTTTCTTTTTCAAATTGCAGCCTAAAAATTCGTATAAATTGTAAATTGCAGCCAATTTTTTCATCGGTTTACATGCTAAAAAATCTTCGGTTAAGATTTTAGGGGTAATTTTAGCCCTTAGGGGCCCGAATTGAGCTCGGAATTAGCAAAAAAATAACGTGTCTCATATTTACAGTTTCCCACAAATTGATACATTTTTGTTACGCAAAACGAGATGCTTGCATTATTTTTTTGCTGATTCCGAGCTCAATTCGAACCCCTAAGACCTAAATGACCCCTAAAACCTTAATCAACGATTTTTCAACTTGTAAACCGATGAAAAAGTTGAATCGGGCTGCAATTTACAATTTATATGAACTTTTGGGCCGCAATTTACAATTTTTTATTTAAATGGCTGCAATTTGCAAAATATAAACTTTAAATGGCTGCAATTCGTAAATTTTCCTATTTTCTTCAATCAGTTAAATGTATACTTTCAAGTTTCAAGTTGTATGTAGGCAGACCTTTGATTCAGATTTTAGAATAGTACTTGTAAATTGCAAACAACCTTATAGAAACGAAGAGAGTACATATTCACATTGACTTGCTTCACACCAACAAAACTTCCTTTAGACTTTTATTAAAATTAATTGTCAAATGGGCAAAAATAGTTTCCACAATACCATGGTGAAAACAATTGGGCTGGGCCAAAGCCTATAACAAAATTAAGTTTAGCCCATTGAATTTTAAAGCATAAGTCAATAATATACCTCCTCATGTATCCTATAAATAAAATCAATATGCAGAAATGAAGCATAAAGGATGAAATTTTAACACCAATATATGTTAAGATATCCTATTTTTTTTACATCTCAACTCTGCAAAACCTTTGATAACAAAACTTAAAAAAGTAACTACCATCATCAAAACTACTGCACAAGACCCACCATACTAAAGATAATAAGAAGCCAAACCCATAATGTATTACCTATACTAATTAACCGGTAACGTTTTTCATTTTCTCGGTTGAAATACCTATGTGTATACTCTATAAACTAAGAAGAACAAAGACGACTCAGAATTTACAACACATGAACGAATGAGCCCATCCTTTTTGCTTACGCAAGTTTCTCTGATCTGCCTTCGCCATCCTTACTGGACTAGTATTCCATTCTGCTTGCAACCTGTAACACCAATCATCGTTACTACATTGTAAGATTAATATGTTCACTGGACAGGATGTTTGAGACGGTTCTTCATTAGCATATCTCACACGATCACTCATGTATTATAGGTGTTTTCCAGTTCTTAAATCAAAACATTTCACAAGTGGAAGGTAGCATAAGTGGTATGATGCAAATTTTAGCACTTATGGGTCTATTGCTAATTCCTTCATCATAAAAATGATTTAAGTCATATCATGAATCGGTTTGTTTAAATCAGGTCCATTTCAATACAGTCTAGCTAATTTTAGGTATAAGTACAATGTTGGCCTCATTTAGGCTCAACAGGCCAGTTTACTTTAGTCATAACCATAATTTTGGATTTGGGTGATTATTGAAAGAGAGAAAACAGTAGAAAAGGCAAGCTTTTAGCAAGAAGATAACTTACACAGGAAAGGCAAAGGAACGAGTGCTGCCAGCACTACTTTCAGATCGGAGAGAAATGTTGCCAGATTGTGCAACAGGCCCCATGTAAGTTATAGATGAAGGAGGTGGCATTGCGGCGGAAAAGCTTGTCTCCCCATGAACCCTCCTGTCTGTCCCACAATCTAGGATACTACCAGGAAGAGATCCAACATCATCCCTAGACATACTTTGAGCCGCAGGAGGTTTTTCCACTGCCTCGTTTTTCTGTGAAAATTCCTTCTCTGCCATCTCTGATGAAGTAGCAGCAGCATTGAAATCCAAGATAATGCTTCCAGACTCCACCTTGCTGTTGTATGATAAAGCATTGTTGTTAACATTGTCAGCTGGTTCTTGTAATGCAGGGTGCTCCACAAGTAGAGCTGAAGATGGTTCTTCACTTTGACTCTAACATAGTACAAAAAAATTATTGTGATTCAGCAAACAGATAAAACTGATTAAGATCTTTAGACATCACAGTAAAATAAACTAATAAAGCAAAGCCAATTTAGCAAACACAAACTTCCTAGTTCCACTACCTCCATTTCCTTTAATAAGACACTCACAATTCTAGGTTGAACTTTGACTATTGACTACTCTTGAACATGTTGATACATACAAATTTCGTATAAGAAAATAAAATTGTCAAAGTATTTGTTAAGATCAACAATACATGATTATAAGTTTTATACCAACAAGCTTGAAGAGACATTAGCAATTTAGCAGTCAAAGAAGTGCATGTCTTGTATAAATAGAAGGGAACATAATAAAATCTCAATTGATCTAGAGATGAATAATAACATCATGCACACAATGAAAATTATCAGTAATGTCGCAAGTTGCAATGTATCCTCAGAGTGAAAGGCATAATTATCAGCTGATTCTTATTTAGAGGTGTCTAGGTTGATCAAGAAGCTTAATCGTTAGTGTAAATCTTGATTAGCAATTTAGTTATGTTTGTTGCATTCAAAGAGAATTAATTAACACAAATTCATATCAAGTTGAAATAAAGAGTAGCATATAACCTACCTCATTGGACTCCATAGTAGATTCTACTTCATGCATGATTGAAGGTTGTGCAGGAGATATTTCTGCATGTTGTGCCTCATTGGACTCCATAGTGGCTTCTGCTTCATGCACGATTGAAGGCTGTGCGGAAGATTTTTCTGCAAGCTGTGCCTCATTGGTCTGCATAGTGGTTTCTACTTCATGAATGACTGAAGGCTCTACATGCTCTAGAGGTACACTGTCTTTGCAATGCTCCTCCTCAGGGACTTCATTATCCGTCATTACCTTTTGACAATCTACTTTATCTTTCTCACCTACTTGAGGGTCTTTTTTATCATTAACAACATCATCACTCTTAACCAGTTCATCTGTGTGCAAAATAAATTTAGACTCATCCTGTTTCTTGCTAGAGTTATGTTCAAACTCGTCTGCGATTAGCATATCATCAGTCCCACACTCATCAGCAGGGTATGGCTTCTCTAAGGCTTCACGAACAACTCCACTCTCCTTCACTAACTCTTCAGCCATGCCCTGAGCAAAAGGATGCTTTTCGACATCATTAGTAAACAGCACATCACCATCAACATTGTCATTAGAAGCTAGGACAGTAGACATGTTTTTACTGTCATGATTGTCTAGGCTTTTAATCCAAACCTTATCATGTGTAGGCACTCCCTCGTCTATTCCAATGTCTTTGACCGGGTGAAAACCATTATCTTTGTAGGAAAACAACTCTGGTAACTCACATTCAGTAATTGTTTTATCAGTAAATAGTTCAGAATCCTTCCTATAAAGAACTTCCTCATTGCTTGCATCAGCAGAATTTGGATTACTTAAAAGCCGAGAATGCCCAATTATAGCTTCTTCCCATGACAGATCGCTACTGTCCAAGTGAAATGTTAAAGAGTCTGGAGATGTCTCAAAGCTTTTTATATCATACCCATCAATGTTATTCTTAACATCGGTGTCTTCATCATCCGAATCGAAAGGGTTATATGACTTCCTCGGGGAAGTTTGAACACCAATAACAAGGTCGTTTTCTGCCATCAATTCAGTATTTGTCAACACATGATCAGAGCCGTATAGTAGAACAAAAGTCGAAAGAAATAACTGTCACAGTACCCCCTAATCATAGTTATGACAATTTATTAAAAGATCCGTTAATAGTCTAATGCTCTACCCACCAATTAAATTTAGTATTGGTATATAAGGAAAGCCAATCACAAATGATCACTATCTTAGAAAAGTTACATTTTTTCCGGACACCCTAAAATGATAGCATGAAGTATGTGACTATTATTTACCAGACTAAGGTGGTACTTGAATCAAAATACAAAGATCAAGCATTCAAGTTCTTTAGATAATGTTACAAAAGCATAAGATTTAGCCATCAAACTTTAGTATCAATAACATCTATATATGACCACGCGATCCACATAACATTCAGTAAGATGTCAATAAGAAAAACATACAACACCAAGAATTTTACTGTCCAGATAAACTAGCATACAGAACAAAAAGTAAAAGATTGAACCAGAAATTACAAGAAGCATCAAAAGAAATAGAATTTGCTAGTTACCTAGCTTCATTCTGACATAAGTCTGGATCTTCAACAAGACGTCTTAGAATCGTGAAGAATTAGATCCTCGTGATACCACAATCAACTCCAACAAATTCAAATTAAAAGATTCCTCAGCAACCTGATAACAGAATAGAAACATTAGTTCATATCGAAATCAAACGTTGTCTTCCAATCACTAACAAGAATACATGACTGAACACTTATTCAACCACTTTAGGTTGTAGGACACAGAAGCAAGTAGTGGCAATTCCAGTATTAGACCAAAAAAGAAGTTATAGACATACTTTAAAAAGTACCAAGTATTACTCTAAGATGAATCAGCAACCATAAATAACCAATATCAATTGGAAACCCAAACAAGCAACATTATGTGATTACTTCATAAAGCCAGAAATGCTATAAGTATATAAATAGTCATATTAAGGCACAAATTTAAGTTGCATGATTCACCTAATCATTGAAAAAAGTACAGTCATGAAGAAAAAAAACTGTCAAACTACCAAAGTTAGAAGCAATGTCTTCATCCCATCAACCACATTTGTACACAATTATGCACCAAACTTGAGTAATCCAAATCTGGTAACACTGTTATAAAAAAGACACTTTACAGGAAATTCAACCCATGAAATCAACCCCCTTAACTTATGATCGTAGCGATAATTAAGCACGACGTAACACGAATTATGTGGTATTTTTGACCCTGATTACCAATTTTACAGTATTTTAACGGTAATCAGGGTACAAAGGTAGACATACTAGAGAACGTCCTTTAAACTAAGGCCCAATAATCAAAGTACAGTTCAAAGAAGAAAAGGACAAAAGTTGAGACCTTGAAAACTTTCAAAAGGACCCTTTTTTTTTGGTTTACAACAGTATTGAAAAAGAAAGATTGGAACTTTACAAAGTCAGACAGTCTGCTTTTCATCAACAATCACATTCCCACTACCAATTTTTGTCAGATTATTTTGATTAGATCCAAATTACACCAATTTAAGGGAATTTTTGAAATCCCCAAAATATACTAATTAGTTAGATAACAAAATACATGAATAAAATAGAATAAAAACCCAGAATTATACTCAAGAAATTGTAAAAGAGATCTGATTCTGAATTTGGAATAATATCCCACTAAAAAAATTAAAAAAAAAACCCAATAATTAAGATGTAAAACCCATGATTTAGAACACAAAAAAATCAAAATTAGCTCAAAAAATAAGCACAAAAAAACAAAGAACAGAAAATTTTACCTGACAAGAAACACACAACAAAAAACAAAACCCTTTGTGTTTTTTTGTTGTTGGTGTTGTTGCTGATGTTGCTGGCTTGTATGTGGGCTCTGATGAACAAAAATTCCAAAATCCAAAAAACCCAGAATCTCAGTTTTAAAACAGACAACACAACATCCAAACAAAAAAAAAATTTAAAACCCGCAAATGAAAAACCCTTGAAAATCAATCAAATGTTGACAGAAATGTTCAGAAACAAAAGAAAGTTGACAACTTTATAACAAAAACTATGAAATTTTTTTGAGAGAAAAATAGTTCACCTTATAAAAGTGTTGTTGATCAGTAACAAATTAATAATTCATCATCAAAATCCCCTAAATCCCTGAAACTAGGTCAACTGTTTCTTCTCTCTAGCAGCTTTCTCTCTCCTCTGTTGGTGGATCATGAAAGGAATGAACAATAGTGAAAAAAACAAGAATTTTGAGCAGAAAATATTAATTATAAATAAATTTAATAAATAAATAAATGGGGAAGAGGCTAATAAATATGGATAGTTAAGCTGCAATAAATACCTTCTCTCTCTCACCAGCTTCACCCTTTAAATTAATTAAATTTCTAGTACTCTCTTTTTGTCCTGTACTTGCTTCTTTCCAAAGTTTGACATTTTTTTTTTAATATACTTAGGAAAAATGAAATAAAAATGAGTGGTATTGTGTTGAAAAAAAAAAACCCAAAAAGAATTTTTATTTATTTTGATTAAAAAGTTTTTATTTTTATTTTTTTAGGTTTAATTAAAATGAGGCGGCAGAAGAGAGAGATAGAGAGCAGGAGAAGAAATTAGACATCAATCCCAAAGCATTCTTATTATTTCTGTTTTATAAGTGGGTAATTATGCCGTATTATATGGGAGGGTGTGAGGGAGGGTGTTTGTGCATGCACCCTGCTTCTTAGATTTACTACCATGTTCAATAAATTAATCACTTGTATCAGCTCAGATCATGTGTGTGATTGGAGATCGGAGGATAGAGTCGTTGGCTAGTGTTCTGACTTTTAACTTGGCTAGTGTTCTGACTTTTAACTTGTTACAAGGTTAAATTTCATGTCATGTACGGTCATAATCTTTACAACAAAATTTATAAAGAATGATGTTAATTCAACAAATTTATCCAAAAAAAAAAAAATACTTGTAACAAAATAATGGTCTCTAATTAAAAATATTGATGGTCAAAATTGTATCTCAACAAATGTGCAAATCCAACCATAACTTATAAAAAAAACAGAGGAGTATAATATAAGGTGCTTTACTTTTTCAATTTCCAGAAGGTCTTCCACTGCAACTATCGGATTGGCCTTCCGGCTCGGTCTCCCACCAAGCGTCGATTCCATAGTCATTCTTCGGTTAAGTTGTTCTTATAAATGTTATGTGTGTTTGTAAGATTTATACAAATTATCCTACCAAAACTATTATTCCTATTTTTAATTAAAATAAATTTTAAGTCGAGGAAAAAAAAATTATGATAATCTTGGTGATGATATATGACAATACCTTAATTTTAAACTATGTTAGTATATTTGTAACTAAAAGATTTATAGTATATAAAATATATGTTGAAAAATAATAATAAAAAAAAAAATTAATTGAGTATGATTGGATTAAATGTGTTGTCAAAATGGAAATAAGTATTATGGTAGGTTATAAAATAGAAGTTATTAAAATTTGGCAAAAAAAAAAGGAAAGAAAAAAAGGTGGAAATTTTTTTTATAACATCGTGACAAGTGTCACTTTAGGTTTGCTTTTAGTATAGGTTATTAGATAGATGAAAGGTCGAGAGTTAAATTAAAATAAATATTTTAGGAAGAATGTTTTGATTTCAGATAATCGTCTTTAAAAGGAAAAAAAAAAAGTCTTAGATGAATTGTATTAGACGAGCGAGTACATGTACGAGCTTAAATTGGATTTAGTCAAATTAAGATTGGCAGGTTTAGTTTGTTTAGATTACAAATAGGGTATCCCTGCAAGAATTCTTTACAGATTTTGAAATAAATCCTATCATAACAATAATACTAATAACAATTGTTTCCTCTAACGTTACTAGAATGTGTCATATGTCTTTAATTTATACGGTAGCTAACACAAATATTAAAATACTTGTATTATTATTTTCATAAAATTAAAATAATCATATTGGATTAAAGTGATTCTTGTAAATTAGCTTAGTGAGAATTATTTTCTACCATTGACTAAAATTGCAATGAAACAATCTCTTAGATATGGATGGAGTGAAGAAGTAATGACAAATGTCAGTGATTAGAGTAGTCATTATTTTGGCGTTAGAGTAGTTAGAATAATTAATTAAATAAATAATTAATTAATGGTAGTTTAATTTCTAAAAAAAGAGAGAGAAGTGATAATAAAGTAGAAAAGTCAACGAAAGAAAATGGTATGTTAATGTTGGTGGGTTTAAGTTTAAGAGAGGTTGATGAGTTGAAGGGTCACGTTCGTTTGGCCGAGTATACAATACAGGTGGAATACTTTACTACTGTTGCTAATACTATGTTGTTGGACCACTCACCACCAAATTATTATTATTATTTTTTATTTTATTTTATTTTATTTTTATTTTTTTTTGTGAAGTTGCGTTGCCTTTTTTCTTTTATTGCGTCTCTTTTTTTGTTTTCCTCGTTCTATTGCGCGGCATATTTCTTGCACTTGCTACCACATGAAGTGCACATTTGCGCGCACTGCCTACATGCGATTTCATTGTCACTCGATAGACATTGTATTTTTTAAAGTTCGACTCATTTACTATTTAAAATAATTTTGTTAAATCTTATACTGAATTTTTTAAGGGAAGAATAAAAATGATTGAGTTTTTTCTTTTTTTAAAAAAAATGGTCAAAGTTAAATGTACTAATGTAAATATATATCATCCAAAATTTAGCCTAATGGAAATTTTTTGACTTAAAGGTCATGCATGGGATCAAATCTCACTACCTAGGGATTCTTTGGGGATGAATTTTCTCTTATTTTCTTCCTCAATCCCCAATAAATCTAACCTGTAAAGTTGGATTGGTTTGACTTGTAAGAAGTGTCAATTTAATAAGGTCCTTCTTTTTAAAATAAATAAATAAATAAATAATTGAAACCATGTCAATGTCAAGTACATCAAAATTCTATTTTTTTAAAAATAAAATTGATTCATAAATAAAGTCACATAACATCTACAAAGAGATTTAGATCTAATAATAAATACATAATAATTGAATCAAATAAAAACATTCCATAAGCAAAGCTACGATCGTTGTTGCAAATCGTACATTCTTTATATCCTCTTATATCGTTGTGATTTACAGCCTTCATCGGCGCGGGGATCTATCGATCTGTTGTAGTCGTACAGATTTTTTCCGTCTTGTTCGCTAGATTGTAATCGAAATAATCTCTTTTTTTATCCCGACCAAATTTTTACCCATAACAACTTTATAGCAATCCATGAAATAAAAAAGCAAATTCTCCCTTAAAAGAGAGAAGAAAAACCCGGTCTTTCGAAGGAGCCAAATCCTCCTAAAGAAGAAGGAAAACCCTGTCGTCTTTCAAGGAGAAAAATTCCTCCTAGAAGAGGAAGACTTATTATAAACCTAAAACAATAGAAAAAGAGCACAAAAACAAATCGGTAGAAGCCCCTCCAATATTCAATAATGGAGGCTAAGTTTTAGAGAGAGAAAGAGGAAAGAGAGGCTAGGGTTTTCATGTCATTTTAGTAAATCAAAATTCTAGAACGAATGGAGTATGTATTGTTATAATGGATCTTCATATTATTTTGTCGTGACGTCTTTATTATTTTTGTGTTGTCTGTTTCAAGAGAAAATACGAGTTGATTTATTAGATCTACAAAATATGTCAATTATTTGTAATTAACCAAGTACGAAGTCCTTTTCTTAGGTTTTTTTTCAATGGAGATTTTAGAACTTTCAACAAAGAAATTGAAGCTAGAAGGACAATGTTAATGAAGGTGGTGTCGGTGGAAGGTGGTTGGAGAGCAAAGAAAGTGGGGTGGCCGGTGTCCATGGAAGCCTCAATGGAGGAATAATGTCCAATGTTGATGACTAAGCATATACTTAGAGCTTGTTTTGATTAACTGAGATGAATTGAACTCAAGTGAATTGTTTATGAGAGAAGGAAATTAGGAACTGTACTGGACTGAATTGATTGAACTGAACTGAACTGAATAGAACTGAAATTAAGCTTGAGAGAACATGTCTGTAGCTGTAGTAATAGATTGACATGTTTTGTTGATCTAATACATTAAGGGTGATCTCCTCCTATATTAGTAACGTTACTTGTTTAGATAAGGGCAATCTTGGTATATACAAGTAGTTCTTTAAAAGTTATAGAAATGTTGTTATCATATTGAAACAAAATTCCGCAACTATCCACAGACAAATGAAACTATAAGCTAATTATGAAGGATGACACCAAGTACAGCAACAAATTAATATGCTGTTGTCAAAAAAAAAAATGACAACAATTCATGTTTTTACTGTCTTATTAAATATAGTACGTTTTCTTCTTCCAAAAAAAAATATTTTGAATAAGTTAAGTTCAAGTAAGATAATAATAAGTTATTATTATTATTATTATTTAAACGTAAGATAATTTAGATAAGTAAACAATATGGAAGTGGCCTTGTGGCCTAAGCTAGTGGGTGAATAAAATGTACGATAGCATATTGGATACTCTTAGGGCCTGTTCTCATTGACTGAACTCAGCTGAACTGAACTGAACTGAATTGAACTGAGCTAAGCTGAACTCAACTAAAATGAACTGAACTGAACTGAATATTTTATAAGAGAAGGAAATTAGGAGCTGAACTGAACTTAACTTAACTTAACTGAACTGGACTGAACTGAACTGAGTTGAGCTGAACTGTTAAAAATGGTGTTTAGATAATTATACCCTTTGTTACATAAAATCAAATTGAAAAAGATTTCAAAACATGACTACCTATTGATAACTATACCCTTTATTCCTTTAAAACTAAAACTAGATAAAGCCCATGCAATACACGGTTTGTTTGAATTTTTTATAACAAATTTTTTAAATTAATGTGTTAAAATTGGCTATATATTTAGATAAAACTAGTTTTGATTTGTTAATAATAATACAATTGAAAAAAAAGTTAATTAAAATTAAATGATTTATGTAATACTTTTTTTTTTTTTTGAAAACTTAAATTTACTAATGTCTATCCTTTATATTCTTATGTGTTACAAATATATACTCAGTATAAATAAAATTTATAAAATGAATTTTAATTAATTTTTAATAGAATTTAACAAAAAAAAAAAACATTTTGGAGGGAAAATTTTTCACTAAATTATGCCAAGTGTCCCCCGGTGATTACTTTAGTATATAGTAAGTATAGATTCCTAATATCAAAAGATAATATTTAATTAATTTAAATTTAAAAATGACATTCGCCAATTTTGCTTACATGACATTTGAATCATTTAATTATAATTTAAATATTAAAATCTCATTCGCCAATTTTGCTTACGTGTCATTTAAATTATTTAATTCTAAAAGAATTTAATAATCTCGTATTTAATTGGCTACCACTAAAATTTATTCTTTTAGATGCCGCGCTGAAAAAATTAAATCCCTAAAACCAAATTGAAAGAGATTCTAGAATATGGCTAGTTAGTTTCGCG